TACACTTTGTTAAAATATGTGAAACAGCTCGTATTTCACATCCACATTTATTAGAACGAGTGTATATCGGTGAGTGATATAATGAAATAAAGATATTTTGACTTGACCTTCCAATTTTTGCATTACTAATATATTGTATATTAGTTGTAGTAATAATAGCACTGGAAGTTGTTGAACAATTAAAAATAAAACCACGTTGTGATCCATTTGAATGAACTGATACTTGGGCATCTCTAAAAGACATTAATGTTTCTATAACATTACCTTCTTTTCTTCCAAATATAACTTTACCATGTTGACCAGTTTTAGAATGATAAAGTTTAAATTCAAGCAATTCACCATCTTGTTCATTTGCTTCTAAAATTTGACTAAAAACATTAATACCTAATTCAGTTTCAATGTACTCAGTAGTCTTTGTAAAGTCTCCATGAAATATAAGTAAAAAATATTCCAACCCAGGACTATTATTATGAAGTACTTGAATTGATCGAATTGCTTTTTTTATTAAATGATGACTAGATTCACTTTTAGTTTCATTTAAGAATTGGTTGAGATAATCTATATTAATAGTATTTGAACAAATACGTCGAACAGTATATTCTTCTAGATCATTTCTTATATTTAATAATTCATGAATAGCTTGTCTGTATTTATCTTGATTAATATTAAAGTTATCAACAAATAGTCTAATTAATTTTTGTAATTGATCAAGTGGAACTTTTCCCCAATCAATACTTTTCCATAACAATATTATTATTCTTCTAAAAGATTGTTTAAGAAAATAAGGAAATAAAATATGAAATACTCGTCTTACTTTCTCATCTTTAATAATCGTTTCAATATTTTCTTTTGTTTTTATATAAAATTTATTTTGAAATTCCGAGTTATTTAAATTAGCAATAAGTTGTTGTTTTTTCTTAGTGTCAGTTTCTAATTCTAATATTTGTTGAATAAACTTTGAGTATTGTTCCTCCATCCAAATTTATTTCTCCATTTCTTTTTCTTTTTTTTTTTAAGTTTCTTTATTTAAATTTATAATTAAAAATACTATTATCTTTTTTTATTTAATTTTGTTATTTCTTATGTTGTTCATAAAATACCTTTAACCTTTTTAAACTCCATCATGTTACTTCATAATATCAAATTAAAAATTACTTTTTGTAAATTTGATTTATGTAAAATAAAACAAAAAACTTTATATTCAACCTTTCAATTAAACATTATTTTATTTATAAATAGTTGAATATATAATTGAATTACAAAAACAATAATTGTAGATAATTATTAATACAGAATAGTTGTGTATTTTGTATTTATTAATATTATAGAATTAAAAAAGGAGTTTTATAAAAAAAAGGAAGAATAGAATAATAAAAAAATCAATAAGAAGATTATTTCAATCATTTTTTAACTAAAAAAAATATGAATATTTAAAACGTCAGATTATCTAATTTTAAAATAAAATTAAAAACATACAAAAACACCATCTAAAAAATCTAATAATCAAAAGGTTATACCAATGAGTCTCCAATACCAATATCCATATTTTAGTTTCATGGCATTAAATCCAGAGATACGTGAAAAACTTCCATTAACTCAAATTGCATCAATTCATGAAGATTTATTAAATAGATCAACAATGAAAGGAACAATCTTATTAAGAAATGGTTTGTTATTTAAGATGAAATATTTATAGAACATGGTGATTAAATTTTAATAGAAATAGTAAAACAAGGTTTTGAATATTATATTGTTATAACCACACCTTATTTACTCATTTTTGAATCAGAATTAGTTTGGTATGATTTTTAATTATATTACATTTAATAATTATATTGTTATTTATTTCTAATAGAAATTAAATAAAATGGAATATTATGCTATTGTTAATTTATGTGATGCCATATTATCAAGGAGAGAATCTAAATTATCTGGATTTTGTTTTAAAATCGAAGCAACTAATAAAACAATGTGTTATAAATATGGGTTATGTGGAGAAAAGTTATCAAGATATCATGACAATATATTAGTCTTTAGAGATGAAAATATTTCTCGTGGCAAAGAATGGTATAGTCAATTTGAAAATGCTTTTGCTTTAGCATATACTAAATATAATAGTCCTTCTTCACATATTGAAAATAAAACTCCTGTTCAAAGTCCAAAAATTGTTGCTGAACCAAATGTAAATCCTAATTCATCTGAATCTGTTACAATAAAAGAAACAAGTTCTTCTTCTGATATAGAAGATATAGTTGATGTTGATTCATTATTAGATAAAAAGTCTACATCTCATTATGTGTTAGCACAAAATACTTTAAAAGAATTCTTTGATGCTACTGAAGAAGGTAAATCAATTATTTGGGATTTATTAAAACAACTAAGACCAGGAATGGACCTTGGTAGAATCTCTTTTCCATCACATATTCTTGAACCACGTTCATTCTTAGTTAAAACAACTGATTATTTTGCTCATATTCAATATTTCAAACCAATAAGTGAAGAACCAGATCCTGGACTAAGAATGCTTGGTTTAGTTAAATGGTTATTAAGTGGATTTTATTTAATGCCTACTGGAATTAAAAAACCTTATAATCCAATTCTAAATGAAACATTTAGAACTATGTGGAAACATGAAGATGGAAGTAGATCTTATTTAGTTGGAGAACAAGTCAGTCATAGACCAACAATATCAGCTTTTTATGCAACAAATAGACAACAAGGATGGATGGGAAATGGATATATTGATTTTACTACTAAATTTAATGGACTAAGTGCTTCGATTATTCTTGGAGGTAAAATTGATATTTATTTATTAAATTTTAATGAACATTATACTATGACATTCCCTGAGGCACTTGCTAGTGGATTTTTTGTTGGTCCAATGTTAATGGAAATTGCAGGTAAATCAGTATTTGAATGTAAAGAAACTGGGTATAAAGCTGAAGTAATTTTTAATGTAAAAGGAACATTTTCATCTGATAAGTATCAAACAGTAGACGCTAAGATAACTAAAAATGGGGAGGAAGTTTATAAAATATGGGGAAATTATTATAAAGAATTATTTTATTGTGGTAAAGACAAAGTAAAGAAAAGTTTATTAAAGATTGATGATATTAGGGGAAAGAGTGTACCAAGATATACCATTGATATGAATCAACAAGGAGAATGGGAAAGTGACAAACTCTGGAAAAAGGTAACAGATGCAATTTATAAAGGAGACCAAATAACTGCTACTGAAGAAAAATGTAAGAATGAAGAAAAACAAAGAAAGATGGAAAATGAATATCTATCTACTGGAACGGTTCATATTCCAAAGTATTTTGTTAAAGACTCATTCCTTGGATGGAAGTATGTTGATTTCAATAATTCAAAATTTAATCCTGATAAAGAACTTGGAGATTATGAAGATAAATATCATATTAAAACATTGTTAAAAGAACAAAATGAATGTATTGATGATGGAAAACAAATAAAAGAAGAGCTCCTTACTTCTTCTATTGAAACTAATAATAGTCCAATAATAACAAATAAAGAATCAAACCAATTAATAGACTTGAAGAATGAACTTGAAACACTTAAAAATCAACTCCAATATTCAATTGACTCCATTCAATCATCTACTTCTCAATATCTTCATAAACAAATTGAGCCATTACAAAGAAGACTGTTCATTGTAATTCTTATGAACGTAGCGTTGATAGGTATGCTCATTTATTTGCTTCTTCACTAAATATTTTTGTTATATATATCATATTTTATTTGGAAAGAAATGGAATTAGATGACGTAAACATTAAATTGAGAAAAAAGAATAATGAAAAAAAATCTATTGATTTTTGAAATGAAAAATTAGAAAATTAAAACGCTGAAAATAAAAGAAAGTTTTGAATGATGGTTATGAAAATTAGTTTTTGATAATAAAAATTATTAATTAATAAAAAAAAAAAAAAAAAAAATAAATATTAGCGGCAGAACATGAAAATCATGAATTGGAGGTGAAAACTAAAATTTATAAAGGATGGCTGATTGTTGTGTAAATTTCGATGAAAAAATATATCATGACATATGTACCTCAAACCATTTTAAAGAATTTAGATATGTTGCATTTAATATAAATGTTAAAGATTCATATTTACCTTCAAGAGATAAAGCACCTAAAATGGTTGATATAACTTATATTTCTTCCTCAGAATTTTCATTATTACCACGAAAAAAGCAATTAAGTAGAATTACTATTGAAATGACAGCCACCCAACCTACAAAGTCTATTGTTTGTTTTTTATTTCTTTTATTTTTCTTTAAAACATTAATATTCATTTCTTATAGAATTCAATTGGTAGTTCATTTGAATTAGTGGCAATTAAACCAATGTCAGATAAAGTATTTGTTGATGCATGTACTTCATTTCAAATTGATTTAATCACATTTAATTATCCTGAACAACTTCCATTTAGATTCCATGTTCCTACATTAAGAACAGCAATGAATCGAGGGTTGTTTTTTGAAATAAATTTATCTCCATTACTTGAAGAATCTGACCAAAAACAAAAACAATTTTGTATTTTAAATGCTACTGATCTTATTACATCTACAAAAGGAAAAAATATTATTTTATCAAGTGGTGCAACAACAAACAATGGATTTAAAGGTACAAAAGATCTTATTGCTATGGGAATAATGTTAGGACTAACTACATCACAAGCATATGATGCTGTTTATGTTAATCCAATGAAATGCATTACAAGATCACGTAGAAGATTTCCTATTAATTCAATGATATCAATAGAATAAAGAGAAATTAAAATGTCAGTTAAAATAATATGTTGTTATCTTAATGTTCTTTAAAACTAATTCATTTTTAATAATATAACAATGCAATAATAATATTTATTTATTTTTAATGCTTTTTATTATACTTATTAGTAAAACTATCAAAAACTTAACTTTTAAGAAATTCATCTACTTAAATAAAATAATTCTCTTTTCTGTTTATTTAATCTGCTTATTGAACATTTAAAACAATAGCAGTTAAGATATTAGCAGCTTCTTCTTTATGTTGATTAAACTCAGTTTCAATAACTTGAATTTTCTTTTGTGTTTCTTCTTTAAGAGTCTGAGTTTGAGCATCTAAGTCTGTGTTGTGAGTAGCAAGATATTTCTGAAATTCTTCATCTTTTTCTTTCTTCATTTCAGCAACTTTTGCTTTAGCCTCTTCTCTTGCTTGTGCTATTTTTTGAACCTTTTCAGCTTTTGCTTTTTCTACAACTTGTTTAGCATTTTCTTCTGCTTCCATAAGCATTTTTAATCCTGCTTTATTGTCGTCTCCAACTTTAGCCATCTTCTTTTTATTTTTTAAGATTTTCTTTCTTTTTTAAATTCTTTGAGTTAATTTGTTTGTTTTTTTCTCTTTGTTTTTGTATAGTTTCATTATTCATTTCCTTAATTGCTTTCTTTAAAACAAGTATCATAACAAAACAAAAAAAAGTAACAAAATATGTTTTTTCTTGTGTTGATTTTTGTAATTAAACAATTATTGAGTCATCATTATTGGATTGTTGTTCACAAACTTGTCCATCTTCTTTACACTCTATAGACTCTTGGATTTCTGCTCTTTCATTTGGTTCATCAGCACATTCACTTCCTCCAGCTTCTGAATCATCTTTAACAATATAATCAATATCAAATACGTTAGATGTTGCAGAAACCCATTCATTCATAGCAGCCTCAAGTAATAATTTTTGTTTTTCTATTGCCTCTGAGCCAATAGCAAATTTATTTTGGCAGTTAGTATATCTCTTAAATTTATTGTCATCAAATGGAATAATACGTGTATCTACACTTTTATAGAAGTCATCTTCTCCAATTGAAGTTGGTAACATAAATAATGATTGATTCATATATTGGTCGGTACATGGAATATTCATATCAACATGCCCCCTTTCAGATATTTTACCGTTAACATATTGATAAATACCAAGTTCACTTGACACTGCTTGGACTAATTTGTCATCACTAAATGTTACTGTAATTGGACAATCTTCATTAGTATGAATTTTATTACTTGCATTAATCCAAACAACATTTTGTGTTGATGCATTCTTTTTAATTGGATCAGAACAACTTATTGGTGGAAGGGTAAATAGGTGTGACGTTTTTGAAGAGGAAATAACAACTAAATCACATGATGGTGTAAATGAAATGTCTGTAATAACTGCAGTTGTTGTACCTCTTTTTAATACAAATAAATGATCAAGATAACCATTTGGATGTACTCTAAATACATTTGCTAAATATCCTTTATCATCACAAGTAACAAGTAATTCTCCTTTTGGATCAAATTTCATTGTTCTTAGTCGTGAAGCAGTAGCACAAAAATGACATATCCTTTTTATTTGTTTTTTTGAAATAATACTTCTATGATCTGCAACAATAACAAATTCTTTTTTATGTTCATTATCATTAATTTCTTGTGGTTGAGTTGGTGCTCCATAAATATTTTTTACTCCATCAGTAATCCAATTAATTGAACTTGTTATTGTTTCTGTAGTTATGGCTGCAGCACTTTGTGGAGGTTCAACATATGATGGAGGAATGTCATAAGTAGGATAAGCGAAATAAGCACTACTCACAGCGATTGGATGTGTATTTTTTAAATATTTTGTAGTTGATATTTGAAGAATTAATGATGGTGGATTTTGAGTTGTGCTATAAATATGTAATTGCCCATCTAATGTAAATGCAAACAATATATCTTCAACTAATTCAAAATCACAATAATTATATGAAAAAAATGATGATGCAATTGGTCCTTCTGGTTTAAATGTTACACTAACTAATTGGTTATTACTTGTTACAAAAAAAAGCATAGGAGGTGAAATATGTCTAAAACGTGAAAATAAAGGAATAACATTATCTTCGACTGGATATGAAAATACCTCTTCATTTTTTGTAATGTCATCACAATCCCATACTCTAATTCCATGACTTTCGCATATAATACAACATTTTCTCCTATTTATTTAAATTTTATTTCTTGTTTTTTTTTTTAATGTTTTTAAACTATTAAAAAACAAACAACTCATTATCATCTTTAGGATATTCATCAAATATAACAGCTTGTACATCAATTTGGTCTTTTGGTTTTGGTGGTTTTGTTTTAAGAAAAGAAGGAATGTAACTCCATTCTTCTTCTTTTTGACCTTTAATAAATGATGCAAAATAAGGATGGTTCATAGTTTTTATTTATTTTAAGTTTCCATGAATTTTTTTCTTTTCTTTCTTATCTTTTGGAAGATTTTTTCACTTATTTAATTTTTCTTTTAAAATAACTTTCCATCTCTTTTTTTATTAGTAGGGAAGGAGATTAATCATGTTGTTATCATTTTCGGTTTTTAATTCCAAGGGGTGTAGATTGTATCACTTACAAAGTTTCTTTTATTCCAGTTATTTAATTAACTTCTGTTCATTAACTTTTTATAGCTAAAGGAAGTGAAAGAAAACAATTATTAGAATTTGTCATTTCTGAAGCAATCCTTGCTAAAGAAAAAGTTATATCGCCTATGAGATGGAAAGGAGATGCTGCATATTTTATGTTTATTGGGGGATGTTGGTGTATTATCATTACTGATGAAAAAATTGGAGTTGATTCAATGATATTACATTATACCATTCAAGCAATAGAAGAAGTTTTTCCTATTAGTGAGTTAAGCATTATAAAGAACGTTAATTTATTAGAGTCAATTGTTAGAGATTGTATTGGTGATGGGATTCTTCACTCAGTTAATTATTTTGATGTTCTAAGAGATGTTCAACCACCTCAACGAGTTGAGATGATTCCTGAATTGCTTGAAGTGCAACATCCATTTCATAGAAAAGAATATCAGGAAGGAATGACTTTTGGACTAAAACAAAGAGAATGGAATAATAACTATATTGTTAATGGTATATCCCAAACAGGATTTGAACGTGCTGAACCATCGTATGAGTGTTTAGATAAATATAATACTCTTCCAATTGAAAAAACAATGTTTGAACCAGAAAAAATTTTTTTGGTTCAACAAGAAGAAATAAATGTTACATTTAAGTCAAATGGAGAAATAGAAAGTTCGATGATTCAAGGAGGATTAAAAAGTACTGTCTACTCAGTTGGAGTAAAATCAATTCAATTTACTATTGATTCTATAGACTTTCAATCAAATCAACTAACCATTAACCAAAAATTAGAAGGAACAAAAGACAGTGGTGTATTATTATGGCAAAATCCATATGGTACTATTCCTATTCTTTCTTATCAAGGAAATGTAAAAACATATCCATTATTATTAAGAGGAAATACAAATGTTGATAAGCATTCTCTTACAATTTATATAACTTATTCATTAATTGGTCAAACCTATCTGCACTCATTTTGTTTTCATCTCCCTCAACAAGTTAAATCAATTGAAACAAACCCACCAAATTATACAACAATTGGACGAACTCTTTTCTTATATCTTGCTAAAAAAAATAATAATAATAAAAAGCGTTTGTTTTTAAATTTTATTCATAAAATAAATAAATGAATAACTAAAACTTATAATACAGAAGAAGGGTCTTTACGTATCACATTGAAATATAGAAATGAGGCTCAACCACATAAATCAGATATCCCATTTGGATGGTTTGATTTTGAAAGTTCATTTTCAACAAGTACATTAGGACTACCAACTATTACACAAAAAAGTGTTTCAGAAATCCCAATAGAACAACAAATAATATGTAAGTCAGGAACATATGGGATGAATTTTATTGATGAGAGTTAATCTTCATTTTTGGTTCTTTTGAGATAAAAAGGAATGATGAAACTCAAAAACAATAACTTGAAAATCAAATTAAGAGATATTAACATGTCACGAAGAGATGGTCGTGATGAAGAAATAGATTTTGGTGAACAGGTTATGAATGCAGAAAATGAAGAAAGACTTGCTGGGTTAACTGACTCAATTGCTCAATTAAAAACATCAGCAAATTATTTAAAAAACAAAGTTGAAAGTGATGGAAAACAAATTGATGAAATGGTTTGTATTATTTTAAATAAGGCTATTATGGTACTAATCGATTACTAACTTATTGTTAGCAAAATCAAATGGATGACTTAATGGAATTTTTAAATTCTGTAAGACAGAAATTAAAGAAATTATTTGGAACAACAGGAATGGGTCATTTATTAGTTTTAGTTATTGGAGGAATAGGAATTCTTGTTGTGATATATGTCGTAGCATTTAAATTGAATTAAGTACTATTTTATTACGAATTTTTGTTATTATAACTAAGAAAAAAAAAAGAAATTAAATGAACTAGTTTTTCTTGTTGTATTAATTATCTTCAATGACATTTATTATAATTCTTTTATTATGTACATTATGTTGTCTTGCTCAAAATTTAACAATTAATATCTTTCATGTTGGACAAGCTGATTCTCAGTTGTTAATATTCCCAAGTGGTTATACTGTTTTAATTGATTTAGGTGAAAATAGAGATGATTTTGAACCAACTAATGCCAAGTACGTTACTAAACGATTAACAGAACTTGTTCCAACTAAAACAATTGATGTTTTAGTATTAACTCATATCCATTTAGATCATTTTGGATATCCAGCAAATCAGACTGGACTATGGTATTTTATTGAAAAGAGTGGATTTAAAGTTAAGAAATATGTTGGTAGAAATATTGGTACATATGATGGAAATGATATTTCTAAATGTAATAAAGATACTATTAACTGGAAATATGTAGGAGAATATGAACAATACAATGTAGATTGGATTTGTTATGCACACACACAACAAAGTCAAAGTTACATTAATAATATTAGAGAATTAGCTGACATTTGTTCCACATCACAGATTCATCCTCCTGATAATAATTCTAGTATTCAAATTGTGATGACTGATGCTTTCACTGTAAAGAAACAAGATGGAAATTTAGTAGCAAATGATTGGCATGATACAAAAGATGCACCAAGTGAAAATGATTATTCTATTTCATTAAGAATACAATATGGAGAATTTGTTTATTTTACTGGAGGGGATTTAGATGGTTCACAAGACTTTGCTTGGGGAAATGAAATTAGTAATGCAGAAGAAAAAATTGAAAAAATTGTTGGTGCAGTTGATGTATATCGAGTTAATCATCATGGAGATTATCACTCTTCAAGTAAATCATTCTTAGAAGAAATGAAACCAACTGCTTCTATCATTTCATGTGGTGACCATAATAGATATGGACTTCCACATCAACAAGCAATGGATAGGTTATCATTATATAGTAAAACAGTATATTTAACAGAAGATTGCAACTCAAATATTACCAACATGTTTGATAATGTTCATATTATGAACGAGGATGTTATTATTACAATTCCATTTGGTACTGATTATTATGAAATTCATGACCCAATAAGAAACTATGCCAAAGTGTTTAAAATAAAACAGAATAAAGAAGCACCAAAAGATTGTTATTCTTTATTTGACAATGGAACGTCATTAGTATTTCTAGGTTTATGTTTACTTCTTTTACTAAGTATTTAAGAATGAGTTAATTTAGTAAGAGTCAATGATTCTATTTTATTCTTTTCAAATGGAATAATCAAGAGGATTATGATAAAATTAATAATATTTTTTAGCATAAAAATAAAAGAATATCAAAAAGTGTATTAACAATGTTTTTTTTTAAGAATAATTCTATTTTAATAAAGGTAATAGGTGATGAAAGAAAAAAGTATTTTTAAAAAGGAGTATGAAAAAACATTAAATATAATAGATCTTAGATTCTAGATCTTAAAAATTTAAAAGAATGTTGGATTCGTTTGTTACAACTAGTGCTCAATTAATTGGATTTCCAGAAGATGTGTTTAGGTTTTTATTTGCATTTATAGTAGAAGTCCCTATTTCTATTATTTGCAGATATATTCCATTGAGCACAGACATGAAATATCTTATTTATGGTATAATTGGTATTTTTATATCATTTTTTGTATATTCAACTATGACTTATTGTGTATTGATAACCATGATTCCAGTTTATCTAATTATGAAATATGTACCAACGAGAAAAGGAGCATATGCTTGCTTTGGAATATCATTAGGATATTTATTAACTATACATATTAAAAGAATGATTGACAATTATCTTGGATATGATCTTGACTTTTCTTCTGTTCAAATGGTATTAACAATTAAATTTACAACATTTGCTTTTTCAGTTTGTAATGCACAGGACAAAGAATATAAATGTTCTGAACATACTGAAAAACATAATATTTACAACTATCCAAGTATACTTCAATTCTTTGGGTATACATTCTTCTTCCCTGCATTCTTCTCAGGACCATCTATGGAATATACAGACTTTGTATCATTTATTGATATGTCGATGTTTAAAGAATTTAATAATAAACTTCCACCAATTAATATGAAAGCTGTTGGAACAGTTACATTAAGACTTATTTTAATTATTGTATTTCATTTAGTTTCAATTAAATGTTCAATATTTGAATTCTGTGAGTATTATATTTTAGGTCATAAAGAAGAATCTACTTGTTGGTTTAAATTATTAATGATACTTTTGTATGTTGAGTTTATTAAATTAAGGTATTATTTTGTTTGGGAGTTTGGAGAATTGTTAAGTATTCTTATGGGATTTGGTTATAGTGGAATGAAAGATGGAGAAACAACATGGGAAGGATTTAAAAATGTAGATATTTGGAAAATGGAAACATCTGATTCTGTTAGACAAATTGTTAGTAATTGGAATATTCAAACTGAAAGATGGCTAAGATATTATGTCTATGAAAGATTAAATCAAAATAAAACTCTTGCACCATATAAATCACTTTTAACCAATATGGTTAGTGCATTTTGGCATGGATTGTATCCAGGATATTATATCGCATTTGGTACTATGACTTTACAACAAAAATTCCAATATATGTTATATACTCAGGTTCTTCCATTGTTAAGAAATAAGTATGGAGAAAAATCAATTCCAATTTATCTTTATCATACATTTAATTATATATATACTCCTTTTGCTCAAATGTATTGTTTTGTATCATTTGTTCTTTTAAGTTTTAGTGCTACATTTACTGTTTACTCATATACTTATTTCATTCCACATATTATTGCTCTTTCAGGTTGGATGTATCTTTCATATTTTCCAGTTTATAAAAAGCCATCCCGTCAAGAAACTGTAGAAACAAAACCAAAAGAAGTTAGTACTGGATCACCAGCTACAAAAGAAACAACAAAAAGTGAATAATTAAAATTTTCATTATTAGAGAAATTATTTAATTTAAAAGAAAAAAGTCTTTTAATTCATTTTTGTTTATTATAATCTTAGTATATTATAAAAAGAGTTATTAACATAACTATTACCAATGTTTTCTTCCTTTGTCTTATTCCATTTGATATACAATCTGCAACTTTAAATTTTTGTGTATTAATACACCTCGTATTTAATTCTTTAGAACATTCACAAAGATTTGTTATAAATTTCTTATTTGTTAATGAACAAGTGGCATTTGGTCGTAAACCATTTGCTGTTGTAAGGAATACATGACTTTCTTTATCAACATAAACACAGTATTTAATAGCTGACGAACCACAAATGTCAATATACTTTGTTGAATCAGTGGTAATTCCAATACTTTCTAATCCAGTTCTTATTGAACCACATTTTTCAATGTCTTCAGAAATATATTCTATATCATTCTTAATACAATTTGGACGATAATATATCTTTCCAGAACATAATGAATAACTAACTACTTGATATACTAAACAAAAAACAAAAATGACAATTACTATTTTCATTGTTTTAATAACAATTTTTTGTTTTATTTCTTCTTTTTGAGTTTTTTACTTTTTCTTATATTTTTATGAAATAAAGTATCAGTTAAGAAAATAAAACAAGTCGAAGTAAATGAAGATAAACTGAAAGAATTTGAGAAAGAAGTAATGGTGTTAGATAAATTTCAAGATGAATATACCATTTAATTTTATGGAGCAGTATTTATTCATAATACAATATGTATGGTAACAGAATGTACAGAATACGGATCAATACAAGATATAATGAATAAAAGAAACATCACAGAAATATCAAAGAAAATACGAATCAAATTTATGATAGATGGAGCAAAAGGAATTTCATGTCTTCATTTAAATGGAATATTACATCGAGATATTAAACCCGATAATTTCCGTGTTGTAACACTTGATGATAACACTGAAGCTAAACGGAAATTAACGGATTTTGGAAGTGCAAGAAATATTAATATGATGATTATGTTAATTAAAAGAAAAGAATAAAAGAAGAGTACTAAATAATAATAAGCAATTGATTGAGTGTTAATAGAATTTGATTTCTATTATTCCTGGTTTAAGGGAGATTAATCTTGTCTCTTCGTCAAAGAAGAGTATTACAAAAATAACTAAAAGATCGTAAAATATTAATCTTTTAAATTAAAGGGTAAGTTTAAATTTTAAACTTGAAATAATCAATTTCTTAAGAATTTTAATGGAAGAAACACAAACACCACCAATTTATTTTAATGTTCTGAATATTCCATATAAGAGGGTGATGTTATTTAAAAGTAAAAGTATTATAGTAGGTATGTAGATGTATGTATTGGTTTTATTAATTTATAATGACAAATGACTTATTTAATTAGCAGAAAAAGAACCACCAACCCGAATTGATCAAATGGTTTTAGATATTATTGATATTATCAAAGGAAAAATAGTTAATACAATCAAATCAAGTACTCGACCAGTATCTATTGGACATAGTGAAAATATTCTTTTTATATTATTTGATAATGGAAAAATTAGAGTGTATAGAACAAATGAATTAGATAATAATAAAAAGTCAACAGTTTTATTTCCTTCTTTTAAAGAACAAGTTAATATAAAAACAGTTGGGTGTTGGGGAGAAAAAGGAATAGTTTGTATTTCTAAAGAGAACAAAGTTACTTTTTTCAACGTTTTATCATCAGAATTATCAATAAAAAAGAACTCTCTTGACCCTCAACCAAGTTCGTTACAACTTGAATTTACTTCAGAATTACCTGTTGAAGTAAAAAGTTATGGAGAAATAGTTATAGCGTATAGTCAAAAAGAAATGATTTTGTTTAAAGAAATTGGTATTATAAAGAAGTTTACTACAAACGAATGTAATGTTCAATTTTTTAGAAATGTTTCGATTTATAATCAAAGTATTATTGTCTCTGATCAATTCAACATAGGACTAATTAATGTAGAAACATTACAAACATCATTTATTTTTAATCCAATAGAAGAAGAGTGTTATAATCTTGGATTTGTTAATTGGAACTTAGTAACTAAACAATTAGTTTTTTTTGTAATAACTGTTAATATGGCTGCATTATTTAGTGTCGATCAAACAAAACAATCAGGAGAATTAAAATTAATTATTGAATATGGTTATTTATTTCCAAATATCGAATTAATACACATTACTAATGATGGGTTTATTATTAAAAGTGATGGTAAATTCTACATTTGTAATTCGAATCCAGAAAAGTATAATTCTCCTTATTTTGAAATATACCAACTAAATACTGAAACTAAAGAATTAATTCTTAAAAGAAAAGCAACTTCTTCTATTGATTTAGTTTCCCAACAACGTTCACCAAAGTTATTAAATCATCTTCTTCTTAATAGTACATCTCTTAGTACAAGAGATTCACAAAACTCTCATTATCAAAGTTTTACTTCTCATATTCAACCATCAATTCCTCAAACACAACCAAAAACTCAACAACAAAACTCAACGTCTATTAGTTCAAAGAGTCACATCAATGATTCATTTCATTTTGTAGAGGCTCAACATAAAAAAGAAAGTCAAAGAATAAAAACAAAACAACATGAAAATTTCTCTCAACTTCTAAAAACTAGAGTTGGAGTTCCATTAAATATTTTGACACAAAACCAAATAAGAAAACAACTAAATGAAAAGGTGTCGGCTACAGACTATACTCCAAAACTACCACCAAAAATGAACCAAACATCTTCAAAAATTGTTGACCCTTTTAAACCACTTGTAAGTAAAAAAATTAATCAAGAAATTCCATCAACAACCTCTCGTCCATCTACTCTTTCTACTTTTCAATGCTCACAAAAGTCTATGTCAACACAGTCATTACAAAAACAACTACCAACACAACCATTACAAAATTCTATGTCAACACAACCATTACAAAATTCTATGTCAACACAACCATTACAAAAACAAGTAACAAGACAACAACTACAAAATTACTTTTCATCGTCTGTTGGTGTATTAAGAAATTTGGAATATAACTATGATACTCTTGAAAGAGTTGTTGATATAAAAGATTTAAGGTGTTTTGGACTTGGTATCGGTCCTATTACTTGGATGAAAGGAGAAATTACTACTGGATGTCCAAGGCTATTTGTTTGTTCTGCATGTTCAGAAATTAATGAGGTAACATTTTCAGCAACAATGGTGCCATCAAAGTGTTTTCAAAAAGAAACTATGTTTCCACCACCAGTATTTTATGAAATGAAAAATGGAGCATTACTTATTTTTCCACAACAACAAAATTCCTTATTTTCATTAAAACAAGGATATATTGAATCTTTAATTCCATCGAAAAACATTAAAATTTTTCCTCATAATGAAGGTTTTATTCTTGATATTCCATTAGAAGATGAAACAATAATTAAATTTATTACATTAAATGAAAAATCAGTAATTTATTATGGAAAGTGTTGTACTGAAGTTCCAGTTAAAAGTTCAGATATCAAATCAATTAAAACATATCAAAAACTTATTGGATGTTGTACAACGGATAGTTTATTAATAGTATATCCTAGTGGTGTAGATATAATTCATTTACCACCAAAATTTGTTGACTTTGCATTAACGCCATTTGGTTGTATTATTATTCAAGAAAGAGGTGAGGTGTATGTTATTTGTTCTCAACCAAAATTACTTTATCAATTAAAATTTAAAAATAAAGATAATGAAATAGACTTATCGTTTTGTTCATGTTTTTATGATGATAAATTACTCTTTTTAGGTGATAAAAATGGAAGAGTTTATTATTGTTTTATTGAGGCATATATTTCAATGTCTTATTTAACAAATTAAAATACATTTGATTTAAGTTGTATTATTGAATTGATTCTTATTTTTCTTATTCACTTTACCAATTATTTTCATTTATAAATAAAAAATTGAATAACTTTTTATAAAAAAAATTAAAACACAAAGGAGTTAAAAAGATTTATACCATAAAACTAAAAAAATAACATTGGATTTATGTTAACTAACTTATTACACCAATTCAAAGTATCTTCTACAAATCTAAAAGGTACTTGTTCGCTTCCATTTTCTTTAAAAAGGTATGTAGAAGAAAAAGAAAAGAAATCAAATATGATTTTATTATCACAACGATTTCAAATAAATTTAACACGAGAAGTTGAGTTATGCCAATTTATAACAGAAGGAAAAGAAATTATAACTAAAAGAAGTGTTACTGAACTTTGGGAAAAAATTGATTTTTTTGGTGAAAGAGATGATAATCTTCATAATGAAACTACTTCATTTCCTTTAAACTCTTCTTCTAATATTGTTCAAGAAGAAAAAGATAAAGATAACATAAAAGAATTGTCACAAAGACTTACATTTTATGCTTCTCATTTTAAAAAATATGATGGACAAAAACCTAGAGGATGTGAACCATCTAAGTTTATTGAAAATGTAAATTCAACAAATGAAGTTATTGGATTAGACTTATTTTATACAGAAAATGAATTAAACGAAATGAGAAGATATCCAATTTATGTAAATGATACAAGAATACATAAAATGTTTGATATTAGTGATGTTATAATTGAAAATGGAAAAATTATTAAAGGAACAATTCGTGGAATAGTAAATATTGGAGCTATTCATAAAAATAATGAAGTTATGCAAACTTTAATATGGACAAATGATTTATATTCTAATAATTGTGAATTATTAAAATGTATTACAGACTGTTTTGAGGTTTCTTGTCTTGGAGATAATGTAGAATGTCAAATTGTTAGATCACGACTTGTTGGTTCATTAAAATATTGGATTGAATCATGTTTATTTGATAATAAATTTTTAGAAGATATTAAAGTCTTTATTCAACGACTAAAGAAATATGGAATGAATAACCAGGGTAATACTCTCAGTACTACATTATCTAGAAGACTAATTGGAATAGAAAAAGAATATTCAAGAAATAATACAATAACCAAACACGTATTTATTCCTCCCTCATTATATTATGATATTGATACTCCACTTGAAATGATGTCTCCAAATGAAGTTTCAAGACAATTAACACTAAAAGGATATTCATTATTTTCTAAAGTAAAAGTTAATGAATTATTATTATGGAATGAACAAGACAAAGAAAGTCAATGTAAGTCTATATTAGCTCTGACTCAATTCTCTAATAGAGTAGTAGAACTTTTTAGTAATTTTATATTATCTGCAAAAAACTTAAAACATAGAATTCAATTACTTGAGTTTGTGTGTCAAATAGGAATTGTTTGTTATTTTATTTCTTAAAAAAAAGAATAATATAATTATCAATAGGAAGCAGAAAAATTACATAATTATGACTTATTATGTTGTATCTCATTTACCTTTAGTAAAAGTGCTATACATCGTTTAAAATGTACGTTTAATGGAATTAATGAAAAGTATCAACAATTCATTGTTCGATTAAAAAAAATATCATCTCCTGAAAATAACTGGCAAACACTTAGAAATTGTACAACACAAGACGAAAATGTTATTCATGCACTACCTTATCTTGGATACTTTTTATCTGATGTTACATTTATTAATGATGGAAACATATCTACTTTTGGAAATGGACTTATTAATTATCTTAAATGTAACATGTTAATGAACGTTGCTCAAAAAGTTTATCACTTACAACAAATACCTTATTATGATCTTGTTGAATCTATTTCAATGCAAAAAGCACTAGACAAGTTATTAGAAAATATGCCTACAATACTCGAATCTCAAATTGATAAAGAACAATATTTACTATCTAAATTAATAGAACCATCAGTTAAGCATTGTATCTTCCCTATTAAAGATGGTAAATTTTTATTTCTTGGTCCATTACAGATGACTCCAAAACCATATAACCAACATCCTTCTATGGATGTTAATACTTTTTTATCTTGTCTTCTTCCAACAATATTTCCTTTTGTATCTTTTGTTGCTGTACTTCAAAATTCATTTATTGAATTTCCTGTAAACACATCATTAAGTCTCTTAGTCCCTGCTAATTATTACACTGTTTATCTTAAACCTGTAGAAGTACCTATATTTATTTATACAGAAGATGGATGGTTAAAAACTAAAATATTACTTGATTCTTCTCGCCCATTAATATATCAGATGAATGCATTCATTGCTATTTCAATTGATAAGAGTCCCTTTATATTATTCCATATGAAACAAGGAACAGAAGGTCATCTATTTTTAGATGTTAATGTATCTTTATATCAAAATAACTTTGAGATTAATGATTATATTATATCTTACCCTTTAACATTATTAAATTCTTGTAGTTTTGGATATAATGCTGATGTTGTTCTTTTTGATGAAGAAGAAAATTATTATACAGCTACATTAAGTATGGTTTCTCCTATTATTGTAGAAAGGGGAATTGATGGTGCACTAAAAGAAGTAGGAGTATCAGTATTAGTAGTTATTGCAGGAATGGTTATGTACGTATATCAATCAAATAATCTTATTCGTATATTCCCAATTCAATTTACAAGAATAAAAATTTATCCAGGAACTTGTGGAGTAGTATTAATACTGACTATAAGTGATAAGATTTTTAGTAATGAATTAACTGAATCTCTTTTCTTAATTGGTGATCAAAAATTAATATTTGATATTGTAGAAAGGGTTAATGTATTAGCATATCAATACTCAAGATGTATTATGGGTGTTTCATTAAATATTACTCTAACACGAGAAAATAGAAAAATACCTTATCTCATTGATAAACTTATCTCATCAATTACTCTTGACCCAAACTTTTTTAACCCAACAACATTTGACTTTATTGACCTTTCTATTGCAACTTTAGCACATACTATTGATGGTCATTCTAATTATAGTTTTGACTCTTTATCATTACAACAACGTGTTAGTTTATTACGTTGTTTTTTAGCATCTTTACCAGAACCACTTATTCCAGAGTCATTATATGATGATTTCTCTCGTATATCTAAATTTCCTGAAATAAAGCAATGTGGGTTTATTAATGAAAAACTTCAACTAATTAAAACTTCATCAAGTATATTATCATCAATACTATATTTACTTCATTTATATCTTAGTTATAATCCATCTAAATTTGATAAATTAATTCCATTTGTTCCAATACTTTTAAGGAAAGGTGATTCTATCTCATCATTAGACAAAACCACAGTAAAAACACTCATAACGAATGTCCCTCAACTACATCTACCAATATCCCAAATACATTCAATTCAATTTGTACCAAAGGTTTATTCAATCAAAATTAAAATGCCTGATTATCCTGCTATGAACCAATTGGTAAAAGAAATAAATGATACAACAAAACAAACACTAATCAATAAAAAATATAAACCCGTTATTTGTAAAATAAAACAACCAACACAAAATTGTAATGAAAATGATATTTATAAGTTATTAAATCCTGACATAAAACAATGTTGTTATGATAAAAAAGAAAATAAAGATGAAACAAATGTAGTTAATCTCGAAACATTCTTATTAGGAATTAAAAAAGAAAAAAGTAAGTCAAAAAGTTGGTTAAATTATTCTTCTTCAAGAAGTATGAGCAGTTCTCCCATTTTACCTAATTCTGAACGTCCAACGAGTTTCTTAGGTGCTTCAAGAAAAAGAAAAACAACAAATATTAAAAAACTAGATATTCCATCATCACCTTCTCCTTCAAATTTTACTCCACAAACACCTTCATCAGTTTGTTTATTTAACTAAATAATTTATTATTACATAATAGTTTAACACCATAGAGTCGTTCAAGTCAAGAAGAGATTGTTGGGTATGACCCATCACTAAAAAATAGTGGTCATGGTAGAAAAAGCCCAAGGACAAACAGAGGTGGAACAATTGTTTTAACAGCAAGTGGTTGGACAACTGCTGAAGTTCAATCACCAAAACACTCATCTTTTTTATTAGAAACAAAAACCCAATAATTAACTTATTCTATTCTGTTTAAATTATTATATATTAGCTTACTACAAAAGATAAAAAGAAAAGAACAAAAAACAATCAGTCAAATAGATAAATGTGATTATAAAACACCAGCTAAATCCTCTTTAGATCTAATAATAATTTTTTCTTTCTGTCTTTTTGTTGTAAATCTTCTTGGCATAAACACTTTTGGTTGATCCTCATCATTAACTTTAGGTTTAGTTTCTTTGTGCTCTTTATTCTTTTTTTCATGGTGTTTATGATGTTTTTTCTTTTCTTGAGACGAAGAGTCATCAGAAGGATGTGATGATGAATTTGACTCTTGATCTTTTTTAAGTTCAGCAATAATACCAGGAGATACTGTTTTTACTTTATTTAATACTGCTTGTAACCCATTAAATTCTAATTTCTTTGGTTCAGGTTTAACTAATCCAATTCCACATCGGTTTTCTTCAAATTCTATATCTATTCCATTTGTTGGTTTAAGGTCTCCTTCAAATCCTAATCCTTTAATCATTGATAATCCAATACTCCCTTCTTCAACCCAATGTTTTTGAACACCTCTTTGTCTTCTCTTTTTCTCAGGGAATATTTCATATATTCTTTCACTCATTTAGGGTTTTATCACTTTTTTTAAGTTTTTAGTTCTCTTTGATTTCAAACTTAATATAAATGTTTTAAAAAACAAAAATCAATGAATAAGAATAAAGAAGAAGGGTAGTAAATTATAATAAAAAAAGAACTAATACACTAAAAAGAAGAAATTTAGGGTAAGAGAAGGAACTAAATTGTGTAAGTCGCCATGGTTTGTTGAGATTATCATATTGTCTTAATTTTTAAAAATATGTTTATGTGAAATAAGTATACTTTAAATGAATTTACTTTTTTGATTAACAATTATATATTCAACTAAGAAGAATATAAGACTAATTTTTTAGGCCACCGTTACTTCAGAATCAGAATTCCAACACATGCTTCGTGTTTGCAATACCAATCTTGATGGTCGTAGAAAAGTTCCATATGCCCTCACTGGAATTAAGGGATGTGGAAGAAGATATGCTTACCTTGTTTGTAAAAGAGCTGGTATTGATGTCAACAAAAGAGCTGGTCTTATGACTCCTGCTGAAATTGAAAAGATTGTTGATATTCTCAATAATCCACTTAACTATAAAATTCCAGTTTGGTTCTTGAACAGACAAAAAGATAATAAAGATGGTAAAGATTCTCAACTTATTGCTAATGCCGTTGAAACTAGACTTAGAGAAGATATTGAAGCTCTTAAGAAAATGAGAGCCCACAGAGGTCTTAGACATTACTGGGGATTGAGAGTTAGAGGTCAACATACTAAGACCACTGGAAGAAGAGGAAGAACTGTTGGTGTTTCCAGAACTAAAGGTGCTTAATAAAAGTGGTTAATTTAAGTAAGGTGACGTTTATATTTTATTTTTCTTTGTTATGTAAAACAAATTAAGAGGAATTAGAATAAAAGAAAAAAGAAGAAAGTTTAATAAAAAGGGAGTAATAAAATTTAATAATTTTTATTTGAATGTAACTCCAAGCACAATTTTAAACCATTCTAAATTATTATTAATGAACAGTAAAACAACCAAGTGTAATATTAGAAAATAATAGACTTGAAATATAAAATATATTGAATATATTAATTTATAAAATCAATAAGAGGAATCTGAAATAAAAGAACACAATAAGAACTTATAAAAAGTGAATATATAAAAAATCAACAAGAGCACTGGTTGAAAATGTCTAAGGTACTAGAAAGTGTGATTCTAGAGAAAAGAGAATAAGCTTAATGTTTAGGGTTTTTCATTAGGAGCGAAGGATTGGAGCAACCCTTTGACATGATTTCAGAGAAAGAAAAGAGAAAAACGAACTAATAATAAAAAGAATAGAATTAGAAACTATCAAAAATAGTTGAAAAGAAGAGGAAGAGAAATGATATAAAAAGACATCTCTAATGAACTCTTATTATTAAACTGTTGTTATCCCAACATGCCTGGCACTAAGAAAGAAACTAAAAAAGAAACTTCTGAAACCAAAGATAAAGTAGAAAAGAAAATGAGTAAGAAAAAAACAAATACTAAAAAACCAAGAAGAGTTGTTAAGAAGCCAAAGACAACTAAAAAAGCTAAGAAACCATTAAGTGCTTATATTCTTTTTACTCAAGCAAAAAGAGAAGAGATTGCTGCTACTCTTAAAGATGGAGAAAAGATTAATGCTAAACTTGGTGAAGTTTGGAGGGCTATGAGTAAAGAAGAAAAGCAACCATTCTTTGATTCTTATAAAAAGAGTAAAGAAGAAATGGAAATTGCTGCTCAAGCTAAAAAGGAAAGTGCTTCAAGAGGTTTAAAAGCTGCTCGTGCTGCTGCAAAGGCAAAAAAGGAAGCAGAAGTTAAAACTGATTGAATTTAATTGGTTTTGTTTTTCATTAATTATTGTTGCTTACAATACTGAATGGATGAAATTTTATGAGAAAGTAATGGCAAAGATAAAATAAAGTAATAAAGAAACAAAATAAATAATGATAAATCAATTTAATTGTTTTTCTTTTTATTCATAAGATAAATAAATAAGTTGGTTTGGGTATGTGGTCATTATTTGTTCTATATCTTCTCTTGACACATTTGCCTTAATCCCCATTTCTTTTAAGTCAACACGTCCTGTTAAATATTTAGAAATTTTAATAAGGTGTTGTTCTATTAATGTTGGTTGTAATTTACTTTTTATTTCTTCAATGAAAGAAGGTACTATACACAGAATGTAAGTTTTAATTCGATTTAAAATTCCAAATGAAATAAGCCATGCAACAGAATCTGTAAATGCATCATATTCACCTTCAGGAATATTTTCAATTATATTATCTAATGATTTCTTTTCTTCAAAATAAGATAATAATTTACCTATATCTTTCCATGGACATTCTTCTTCATATTTATTAAATAATACAGATGGTCTTATTTCTACTGTTTGATAATTCATTTTAGATGATGCATATGATACTCCTTTTGCATTTAATAATGGAGAACGTATTTTGGACATTACATAAATATCATCTAATTGAATTGCTTCAATAATTTTTGCTTTTCCCCAATACACTAAATAACGTGCAATATGATACACAGTTTCAAGCGATATATTTGTTATCATAGAAAGGTATTGGAAACTATTCATTGGTGTTGCTGTTTGAAGAATTGTTTTAACTTGATTAATAAATTCTTTACTTCTAATATGTGTAAATTGTTCAGTTAGTAAAATAAGTTCATCACTTTCAATTAAATTATTAATCCATTCTTCTGGGTTTTTAAATAAGAACAAAGCATGATATGGTTGAAGTTGTTCTGAGAAAATATTTTCATAATTATTTAATGAAATAGGTAAAAGGTATTTACTATTTATTTTTGAGTGAGCAACACCTTTAGTTTTTAAGTCAATGAAAATATCTTGTATTGACGCAGCAAGATTAGATTTTAAAATGATTTCTGATATTAAATCTTTATATGTCAATGGTGTTTCTCTTTTAGAATTCTCTCTACAGAATTTTTCACGAACATTAAATATTTTTCTTACTTCTTTAGACACATATCTATTTCTTGTTTCTTCAAAAATTAAACTATTTGATATTGTCCTTGATGCTGTAACAAATCCATCAATAACTGCTGGAACATAAAAATCTTTTTGAAGAAAGAAAACAACATTTATTAAAGTAAATTCACTATGGAATTAATTTTTGTCTATGTTTTTATATAAAAAAATAATACAAACTTCTCTTCATCATCATCTTCTGGAAATTCTTTTAAATATCCAACTAATGTATGTCTATCAACAGAAAAAATAAATGGTCCTTCTTTCATTCTTCTTGGAACTAGTAATGATCCAAAATCAACTATAGAGGCTTCTGCTTCATGATAATATTTAATATTTCTAGGGTCTAATGCAGGTTGTTCTAAATTTCCAGCTAAAGTAAATTTATTAAATGGTTCATTTTCTGAATTATAACAAAACAAAACTCGTGATCCTTCAATACAACTTCTTACTGATACAACAATACTTCTTAATATTTTCATTAAACGTTATATTAAGTTTTCTTTTTATTAAGTTTTTTTTTTAATTATTTTTTGGTTTTTATTTTCGTTATTCATGAGATTTTTTTTATGAAAACAAAGAAGTAATGGATTGTAAGATAGAATTGATGATTGTTTTTGAACAACAAAGAATAAAAAGAACAGAAGAAATAATAGACTTATTATTTTAACAAGTAATATTAAAGCAATGAAAAGATATATGTTAAATGAAAAAAAAAGAAGAAGAACTTGAAAGTCAAATAAAAGTAGTTTATATGAATTATCTTCAAATACAATATCCTTATTGTATATATGAGCCAAGAGGAGTATATAGTATTATAGACACAACTAAAGATATTATTGATACAATAAAATTACCAAAGACATGGAAAAGATATTTGCCTGTACTTTTTGGAGTATTTTGGATGGCGTTGTGTGGGTATTGGAATTCAGTATTTCAAGTTCTTGCACAAGAAAGATATACACAATGGTTAATGATGCATCCTGAAGTACCAAGACGTCTTGTATTACCAGATTTCTTTTTTAAAGTATTACCATATTTTAAACAGTCATGGGTTTGTGATATTTATATAGGAATTTTTGTTATTTTTACTAATATTCGCTTTCTATTAACACCATATCGATCATGTGTTATAAGAAGATATTTTTTCTTACAAGGAACAATATTCCTTATTAGATCATTCTCAATATTTTTTACAATTATGCCAGACCCTTCTTTAAGTACAAGTAATGTTAAATATAATCCGTTTATTGAAGGATTTTTAATTATGTTTGGAATTCATAAAACATCATACGACTGTATGTTTAGTGGACATACAGCAAATATTGTACTTTGTGCATGTATGTGGTATCAATATTCAGACTCTGCTCCAATATTTAAATTAGATTGTTTAAATTCTTGGCCAATTAATTCTCCAACAGGATATCCATTACGTTTTACAATCACAAAAGCTATTGGATGGATTGTTTGTATTGGAGGGATTTTATTATTTTGTGTAACGCATCTTCATTATTTTGTTGACATTTACATTGGATGTATTGTCGCATTCCTTTTATTCAAACTTTATCATAATTACATATTAACTATATATACAAGAAACAATATTTTTAATGCTTTTTTACGTTGGTTTGAGCAAGATGCACCAGATATTCCTAGAGAAGTTCTTCCAATTTATAATTCTCATTTTGAATAATTCACTATATTTGTGTTATATATGCCATAAGTTAAATAAAAAAAAAAGAAATTTAAAAACTTCAAAAGAAGAAAGAAAATAAAAAAAGAAAAAATGAACTTAAATTGATAAATTAAGATGTTCCGTAATCAATATGATTCTGATAATATTACATGGAGTCCTCAAGGAAGGTTATTCCAAATTGAATATGCAACAGAAGCTGTTAAACAAGGTTCTGCTGTTGTTGGTGTCAAATCAAAAACACATGCTGTTGTTGCAACATTTAATAGACAAACTGATGAGTTAGGTGCATACCAAAAGAAAATATTTGAAATTGATGACCATATTGGAGTTGCAATTAGTGGATTTTGTGCTGATGCACGAGTAATTACAAGTCAAATGAGAAGTGAGTGTATTGATTATTCGTATGTATATGGAACACCACATCCAGTAGAAAAACTTGTTAAACACGTTTCTGATAATGCACAAGTTAATACTCAAAAGTATGGATTAAGACCATATGGAGTTGGTTTATTGGTTATAGGATATGACACTAAACCTCGATTATTTGAAACATCACCAAGTGGGCTTTATTATAGTTATAAAGCACAAGCTATTGGAGCACGATCACAATCATGCAGAACATATCTTGAAAAACATTTTGAATCATTTAAAGAGTTAGATGAAGAACAATTAATCAAACAAGCTATTTTAGCATTAAGAGAATCATTAACAACTACTAATGATAAACTTTCTGTTTTAAATTGTAGTGTAGCAATTGTTGGAAAAGATACTCCATTTAGATTTATTACAGACAAAGAACTTCAAAACCAATTAGATAATTTAGATACTCAACAAATGGAAATGGTACAAGCTGAAGTTGATTAAATTAATAATTTTCCATCCATTTTGTTATTCTTTCAATAAAACTAAAAAAAAATAAAAAAGAAAAGGTTCTAATAATTAAAAAATTAACAAAAATGAATGAAATCAATAGTTATGAAGATGTTCAACAATATATTCACCAAATAAAACAACAAGAGTGTTATAATGAACAAGAACCTCAAGAAAAAATGGAAATTAAAGAGGAAGAAATGGAAATAGATCAAAGTAACATTGAAAATGAAAGTGAAAAAATATTACAAGAAATGCAAGAGATTAAAGAGAATAAAAGAAGTGTTAAAGAACTTTGTGAATTATTGCAAAAAAGTGAAATGAAAAAAATTACAGAAGAATGGAGTAACGAAGGAATAAGACTACATGAAATGTTAAATGAAGCTATTAAAGAAGAAATGAAAACTGCTTTAATTTGGTGGAATAATCATTCAGATGAAGAAAGAAGAGCTGTGCTTATGCTTTCTGTTCATGCACTATTAGATGATGGAATGGAAACAGGAGAATCATTGTTGCTTGCAGATGTATTTCCAGATATAAATTATTTATCAGAACATCCCCAAACAGTAATGAAATTTATAAGTAATATTAGTAAAAATCCACGGTATTGTAATAGTGAAATATTTAATTTTGAAGAATTAAAAGAAATATTTGAAAAAGAAGTTGGTAGTGTAATGGCATTATCATGCATTACAACGATGCTTGATGCAAGGGTATGTATTGCATGTAAATTATGCATTAATATATTAATAATTACTAATCAGATTGATTATTGATTAATAAAATTTAAAATCATTGTTGTTAATTCAAGAAAGAAAGTCATTAATTGAATTGAGACGAATAATATAAAAGTTTTCCTTTTTTTGAGTAATCACTGAAAAAATCATTTAATTGTAATGTGGCTATTACCAATATGTTTATTGTTTTGTTATGTTAATGGTTATTATTGTATGAAATCAATACAAGGTGAAAAAAGAGGGGTAGTGTCATATAAATTATATAAAGTTAATAATATTACTACTTCTATTTATGTTAATTTATGTGGACCAATAGAAAATCATCCAACAAGTAGTGTATTAATGGTTGGAAGAAAAGAAATTGAACTAAATGATCTTTTTAGTGAGGTGATTAGTTATAATAATACTCAGATAATGTTATCTTATACCTTAAAAGATTCAATTCCAGATTGTGAGACATATCATTTGCAAGTAAATTACCAATGTAATAATACTTTAACAGGACCACTTATTGCAAATGTAGATTATGATATAAATGATCCATTTTTCTGTTCTAATATAATGTTTGTTTATAACATATAAAATCAATGTAAAAATGAAAGGGAATTAATTGAATAGAATAATATATACTCCTGACATTTGTCAGTTGATAAAAAATAAAAGGAAATAAACTATTACTTATTTATTTTTTCTTTTGTTATTTTTAAGAATTTAATTTTTGTCACAAAAAGATAATAATACCTTTTCTTTTCTATTTATTTTTCCTATCCATTTGATAAATGAAAAAAAAAGAATAGAAATGATTTATTCTACTAAAAAAATGTGATTTTTTATATATCATTTTTCAAACGAGATTTTTTTTCGGTGTTTTGATGTGTTGTTTTTATTTGTAATTATTGATGGAAAGCAAAAAAATTTTAAAACTCTTCATAAAGATAGATTGTTGTATGATATTAATAGTAACACTCTTACTCTTTATTTACTCTATTACTAATGCACAAATAACTGTTAATTTTGATGAAATTGACCAAAAAGGTGTTTGTGGTAATGGAAAAAGACATCGTTTTGAAGAAGAGTGTGATTCTGTAGAACATTGTACTGCTAATTGTAGGTGTGAACTTAATTATTATGCGCCACCAGCAGAAGAAGGTTGTATTGAAAATTGTACTAACGTATGTTTACCACTTTGTGAAATACAAGGATGTATTTCTGGATGTAGATTTCCTGATGATTGTTCATTATGTGATATAACAAAAGGATACAGAGATGATTGTACTGGTTGTCTTGAAGGTTATTCTCCACGAGGTTTTCTTAAATGTTCCAAAGATCCTGATATTATTTATACTCCAGAAACATTTCTTCAAAAACATTCTTTTATATATGAATTAAAAACTAGTCAATATATTATTAATCCAGATGATGTTGAACCAACATTTTCTGCTTGTACAACATATTTAGATCCATCTGCAAAGTCATTTCCAGGTGTATGGTTTAAATTTACATCAACAAAAAATGGATATTATTCAATATCAACTGACAATGACTATTCTTGGAGCGAACTTAACTTTCTTTCTAAACAAAAAGTTTGGATTGGTACTGATACTGCGTTGATTCTTCAAGATAGTAAAGGTGTATGTATTCATAAAAATGATGATGTGATAGATTATGTGTCATCTTCTCGTATTTCATTCTATGCTGAAGCTGATAAAGATTATTATTTATTGGTCCATGGGTATTATGGATCACCACTTGATACTTTTACTCTTATAGTAAAAGAAATAGTTCATCCATGTGTAGCGTTTCCATATAATATTCAATGGAATGATATTATTAACACAAATGGTTTTTCATTAACTACTAAAGAAGCAACTGGTTCATTAACAAAAAATCCTTGTACTGCTGAGACTAGAAATGGGAATTGGTTTAGTCTTGATGGAACAGATCATTCAATTCTTATATCAGGAACACCAATGGTTTTACATGTTATTTCAGTTCCAATAATAGAGAATTCTTGTATTTCAGATAATGCAAAATGTGAGGCTATAGTATCAACAACAAAGAAAGGCAATGCCATCATTTTAAAATTAAATCCTGAAAAACGATATTTTTTCTTCTTTACATTCCATGATGATAATTTATTGATTAATTTTAATATCAAAATAGTATGTAGTCAGTGCAAAGGATTTTGTAGTTTAACACATGGAGGATGTCTTTGTAATGGAGTTTCATGTGAAACATGTGGGAATAATATATTAGATGAAAATGAAGAATGTGACATTTCATTTAAAGATAGTAAAGGTTGTAATAATGTTACTTGTACTTGTGATGTTGGATTTAAAGCTCAGGATGGGATTTGTATTCCTGTTTTATGTGGAAATGGTCAAATTGATCAAGGAGAAGAATGTGATGGAGGAAATGGATGTAAAGATTGTTTATGTTCTCCTCAATACTTACCATATTCTATTCCACGATTGTCATGCTTAGATAATAGGTGTGGTAATGGGATAATTGATGAAACGGAAGAATGTGATGGAGGAGATGGTTGTTTTGAATGTGAATGTCAAAGTAAATGGTATAAACGAGGAACGTCAACTCATTGTAAAAGATTATCAAAATGGATGTATATTGGATTAGCTATAGGATGTTTTTTTGTTACTGATATTGTTTTATATTTATTAGTATTATTCTTCTCTTGGATTTGTGAAAGAAAATTGGATAAAGTTATTTTAGCAGAACGTGAGACAGTTGATAGACTATTACCATTTTTTGAAACAAGTATTATTCCTTTTGATCCAAGTGATGCTAAAAAGATTGATCTTACTATACCAAATGCACTATTTGAATTAAGCGAAACATCTATTAAATTAGATGAAAATGAAGACAATTATATTGAAGTTGGTAAAATGGTAGAGACTTCTTTCTTATTAACAAATAAAGCACCTAAAACTCTTCATTTTACTTGTCATGGAGTTGACACATACAAGTATTCAATTAGATTCCAACCAGTTACACAATCAGTTAGGCCAGGTCAAAGTATAAAGATTAATGTATTAGTTTGTGCTAAATGTACTACTAAAGTTGATGATAATATTTATATTACATTTAGATATGGTAAATTACATGCTATTTTAATGGATTTGAATCAAAAAGAACAGTCTGGAATTTCTAAAGAGTCATCATCTCATGAAGATAGATCAACTTCATCATCAAGAAAGAAAGCAGACTCTATTTATCAAGATGAAACTAGTAGTTTAAATTCAAGAGGTTCTAAAGCACTAAGTAATACAAAGAAAAATAAAACTAAAATGAGTAAGTATTATTGTTCATTAAAATTAAAGTTTGAATCATCTTTAAGCACAAAATTGGATCTTGATGAATTGAACCTTATTCATCCAGCCATCGGAGAAGGAACATATGGTATTGTTTATAAAGCAGAGTGGAGAAAAGTAGATGTTGCAGTCAAAATTATGAAAACTGATATTGTTGATTATAATAGATTATTACCTCACTTTATTCAAGAAGCAAATATTATGGAAAGTATTAGAAGTCAGTTTATAATTAATTTTATTGGAAGTGTTATCACTCCAGATAAACTTTGTTTAGTTACTGAATTTTGTGAATATGGATCATTAAGATCATTTATGAAGAACACAGCAAATGAAATGTCATTAGACTTCAAGTTAAGGTGTATGTATGATATTGCACATGGCATGTTCTATCTGCACCAAAATGATATTATTCATAGAGACTTAAAACCAGATAATGTATTAATTTACTCAACAAATGTCTCTGATTCTGTATGTGCTAAAGTTACTGACTTTGGTACTTCTGGTGTTTATGCTAGTTCATCCGATAAATTAAATATTAAAGACATTGGAACACCAATGTACATGGCACCAGAAATTCATCAGAGTAACCAAATTACGTTCAAATCTGATGTATTTTCTTTTGCCATTTGTATGTTAGAAGTATATTTAAGAAAAAGTCCATATCCTCGAGAATCATTCCCAGATACTGAGTCTATTCTAAAATTTATTTGTGCCAATAAGAGATTAAATATTTCTGACGACTGTCCTGTGAAGAAGTTAATAACCGCATGTTGGAATCAAATACCAGATGACCGACCTGATTTTAGAGAAATTTCTTTGGAATTGAAGATAATTACAGGAATGGATGTCTCTAAAAATGCTAAACTGGAAAGAATGTCTACTTTAAATCATATTAACACAACTCAATCAAAACCCAATTTAAGTAATGACAAATCTAAGTTAAGACGTTCTATAATTCCTTCAAGAATGAAAACTTCATCTCCTTCTGGAGGAATGGTATTATCCTCAAATAAAACCCAAAGGAGTGGAACGTTGACTAATCGTTGTCGTACAAACGATAGCCCTCGTTCTAGTAGTCATACACCAACACTTCGGAAACGCCAATCATTTATAGGTGCAGAAGTTGAAGAAATATTCTCAGAATCAAAATCCACCAAAAAACCAACCAATGATAGTCAACAAATATCACCAATATTGAAAACACAACAAATAAAATCTCCAAAAACATTATTAACAACAGAAGAAAAAACTGAACAGACATCTTCTCAAAGTAATAATTCAAGTACAAAATATAAAAAAACAAATAATCAAATAGACTTAAATAGCCTAAGCCAAACAAGTTCTAATTCTATTAAAACAGGTAGTACAACTACTCAATCAATAACAAGTGTCTCAAATTCATTATCTGATATCTCCTCATTTACATCAAATTCCACAAACGAAGAAATGAAATAAAAAAAATAAGTTAGTTATTAAATACCAAAAGCTACAAGAATTTATCATTAAAAAAAGAAATCGAAAAAATATAATTTATTATTAAGAAAATGTTATTTCCATTTAAAGAAGACGACAATAACAGTATGATTATCCATTGATCCTCTTTTTAAAGATTCAGCAATCATTTCAGTAGCTACAGCATCAAAATCTTTTTTCTTATGTTTTTCAATTGATTCATAAGTAAGAGTAATAAGTTCTTCATAATTCATTTTCTCATATAATCCATCACAAGTTAAAATAAGGAATGGATTATGTTTTCCAATTGGTGTCATTTGAAGAGCAGGAATTGGTGAAACAAAATCTTTCATTGATTTGTTATATGGATATTTAAATTCTATATCTCCAAATGATCTTGAAATAGCAAGAATTCCATTAATTCTTCCACAAACAACTTGTCCACCTGCTTCTTCAATTCGTTTTTTTTCTCCTTCATCAGTTGGATTATGTTTTGTTGATAATGGAACAGGTTTACATCCTTTTTCTTTTGGTTTAGTAATTCCAAGAACTGCTTCAGCATCTCCAAGATTAGCTGTATATAATCGTTTTCCAACTAAAAGAACAACACATGCAGTACATCCATTAGTCCAATGATCAGCTTCTGAACGTTTAAGAACTTCTTGATCAGTTTTTAAAAATGCATTATATAATGCTTTTTCATAATTACCAGCTTTAAATTCTGTTTCATTAACAAGAATTTGTGCAAAAACTTCTTCAGCAACTTTAGCAGCTTCTTTACCTCCATGCCCATCAAATACAGCAAATAATGCCATTTGATCTTCTTTAATTTTAAACATTTTATTTAAATCAGGAATAATTAAATGAGCATCTTCCATTTGTGGACGAGGACCACATTCTTCATGAAATCCTATTTCCATTTTTGCTAATTTACCTTTGTCCATTACTAATTATTAATTGTAAAATATTTAAAGTTCGAATTTACAGTTTGTTTTATTTTTCCTTTGAAGAATATGAACTATTTATATTGAAAGTTGCAGAATGTAATTTCATTAAAATACTTTTAAAATGTTTTTAAAAATTTTATAATTTAAAAATGAAAAAGAATATTATAATAGAGAAAAGAATAATAAAATATGTTAGTTAAACATAAAAAAAACTTGAATTTTTTTAGTTATTTCTTTGGTGCAGCATCAAGTAATCCCTTTTTTTCATTTCTTAAAGTAGTTAAACGAGCTTCTAATGATTGATATTTTAATTTATCCAATTGACTTTCAACTTTAGGGAATGAATTTAATTGAAGTTCAACGTCTTTAATTTCTTTATCAACAGCAATTAATTTAAATTGTCTTTCTTTTTCTGCTTGTTCAATTTGTTCTTTCTTTAATTTTAATTTAGCAGCAACTTTTTTAGCACTTTTTTGTAAAGTTTTTAATTCGATAGTTTTTTCTTTAATCATTTCACCAAAATCTAAAATTTTTTTTCTCATTTGTTTATTTTCAAAATCCATTTTTTGGTCTTTTTGAGTAATATCATTAACAATAGAACTAATTTTATTAACTTGTTCTTGTTGAAGTTGTCTAATTTCAAATATTACAGAATCTAATTCACGTTTAACAACATCAATTTTTGAATGAATTTGAGCATAAGCTTTAATGATATATTTTTTTTCTTGTTTACTAACAACACCTCTTCCAGAAATTTTTCTTTTTTCAGCCAATCCTTCAAGTTCAATTAATTTTCTTCTTAAATAAGATTTTTCTCTAAACAAATTTTCTTTTTCATTTCTTATTCTATTCTGTTTTTGACGAATAAATCTATCTAATCTTTTCTCGAATTTAATAACTTCATCAGTACATTCATGGTATTCATTTAATTTTAATGAAATAGTTTTATTTAATGTTTCTTTTTGAATATCATCAATAGTTTTTTTAATTGAAGATCTAAGACCTCTTATTTCTCTTGCAATACTTTGACATTTTTCTTGTGAAAATATAATTCTTTTTCTAAGTTGTTCATTAAATTTAATTTCATTTTCTTTTTGAAAAGAAATCATTTTATCTTTTAATTCTGTTTGTTTTTCACTTATAATTTTTTTTATATTCATAATTTTTTTATGAATTTTTAATACTCTTCTTTGTCTTTTATCAATTTCTTTAACTAAATCATTAATTCTTTCTTCATTAATAACTGTTTCCTTTTTTTCATGTTTTAATTCATTTTTTAATTGTTTTAATATTTTCTTTTCTTTTTTAAATTCACTTTGTTTTTTTAAAAGTTTACTTTTATATTTTTTAAGTAATGAATGAATAGTAATTCTAGTAGTTTCTATTTCTTTATTTTCAATAGGAATAAAGTCATGAAGTTTTTCAATTAAAAACAACTTTTTATTTTCACATTGTTTATAAGCATTTTTAACTTCTTGAATTAATTTAACTTTTTCATTAACTTCTTTTGAATTAGTATTATTAAGAATATTTTGAGTTAATTGATTGATAGTATCATTCATTTCTTTTTGGTCATTCATTTGTTTTTGATATTTATCCCAAAGAGTTATATAATTATTTTTTTTAGTATTTAAATTATCTACGAGAGTACTATATTTTTTACTAACTGCAGTAATTCTTTTTTGAAGATAATCAATATATTCTATTGTATTTCTTTTTTTTAATTTTAATAATCTTTCTTTTATTTTTAATTTCTTTTCTTGAAGTTTACTTAAAGCAATTGTTTTTCTTGTTTGTTTTAAACGAACATTTAAATATTTTAATGTTTCTTTATTATTCCCTGATTTGTTTTTTCTAAAAACTAATTGTGAAAATGTTTTTTCATTTGATTTTCTTTTTGCTTCACTAATATCTAATTTTTCTAATACTTTCTTTAGTTGTTTTTTGATTTTTGTTAACTTTTTTTCTTGTTTTTCAATTCCTTCTTGGACATTTTGTACTTTTTTTCTATATAAAGAACTCATTTCATCAAGTTCATTTTGAATGGTATTCGTTGCATTCATTGGAATACTTGCAAATACAAAACTTAAAAATAATACTATTAACAGTATCTTCATTGATATTATAACCTTTTTTCAGTTCTTTTTTATTTTTTTCTTTTATTTTTTATTTTTTAATGTTGATTTTTAGAAATTTTATTGTTTAAATTTGATTTATTCTTTTTTTTTTTAGAATAATATTCTTTTTATTAACATATATTTTAAATAATTATTCTCTATTTTACTCCAACTCTTCTTAATATTCAAATGAAAATTTTTATTAAAAGAAAGAAGAATAAAAAAGTATTTAGAATAAAAAAAATATGTTAAAAGTATTAATTTGAGTAATTGATTAGTTTGAATTTAAATAAATTAAAAAATAAACAAATGAATTATAACATAGATGATAAAATAGGATCATTTTTATTAATTAAAAATGACTTTTCTTTTAAAGTTTGTTGAGATAAATAATTACTAAGACTTATTCCTTTTTTAGTAATATCTTCTTTATTAAGAAGACAGATACCATCTTTAAAAATTTGTAAAACAGTTTGCATTTTTTTAGAATTGTTTTTTCCTGATGAATAAGATGAATTAAAGAAATAACCTTCATTCTCTAAAAGGTCAATTAAAAAATGATGATTTTCAATTGATTTGTTTGTAATAAATCTACGATATGCAGTTTCATGTACTACACCATTATAAATATCTATTTCCATAAGCGCTTTACAACGCTTATTTATAATCTCTAATACATCAATTTGGGTTTTTCCTATTGATACTTGTATTACTTTAACAACTTGTCTTGTTATTACTGATTTTTTTGTTGCTCTTTCTACAACAATATCATATTTTTTATTTAATAATGCTATTAATACAGCTTGTTGATATGCTAAATAATCTCTTATTGTTTGATATCGTTCAGCCAAACGTTGTGAATCAGAGACTTTGTGAAGTGGTTCTGAAGACATCAATCTTTTTTATTAGTTCAATCACTTAAATCTCATAAATATTCTTCAAATAAAACTACAATCATAGTGTGTTTAACAGTCGTTCTATTTACTTATTACATGGAATATTCTTCCTACATAATCTGATTTGGCGCCAAATAGTTATGTGTCATCAAAAAAAAAAAAATAGAGGATGAAGGGAGTTATTTTTACTAATTGAATAAACGGTTTTGAAATTATTTATTTTTGTCTGATTCTCTCAAGTAAAAATTATTAAAAATGTTCAGTAGTTCTATTTTTAGTCTCGATTTTTCATGAATAATGTTCATCTATAAAAATAATATTCCTTAAATAATGTTATTAAATGTTATTTTTTTTTTTAGCCAGATACTTATTTTTGTTTTTGGATTATAACTTCTTTAAGGAATTGATAATTTACTCTTATCCAATATCATATAATTCTTTATTGTTGTTGACATTATCATTATTTAATGATAGAGATTGTGCGAAATGATGTATAATAAAATGGATATAAGATAATCCAAATACACAATGTCAAATTCTATGAGAAAGGTTAAAACATTTAAGAAGAGGAATAATTTATAAGTCATGTTATTAAAACTAATTTTTTTTATCGTTTTTTAATTCATCATCGAAAAAAAACACTTTTTTCAATGGAGTGTCAGTAAAAAGAAACTTCTAAAAAAAAAAACAAGAATAGAATAAAAATAGAAAGAAAAAGAAAATTTAAAATGACTGGATATTTTCAAAACTTTTAACCCACCTTTTTATAAATAAAAAAAAACAACATCTTTATTTATTTAAATGAAATCATCTACACCAGCTGATATTCAACCAGCTTTAAAAAAAAGAAGTAAAAGAGTAAATATTACAAAATCATTAAGTAAAGTTTTAGATGTATTTGAAAAATCAGCAAATAGTTTGCTAGATAGAAATTCAGAAGGATTAACGTCAAATCAAATAGTATTTAAAGTAGTTGATTTAACAGCTGATTCATTTGAATATGCTAAATTATTACAATTATTTAGTGAAAATGATTTTGTATTAATAAGAAATGAAAATGAAGTATTTTCACCTGATATTAGAATGACAGTTTGGAGAATGGAAAAAAATAGAAAAATTATTTTTGAAAGTCTTGCAAGAAAAATTAAAGAAACTAATGAACAACCAAAAAAACTTCAATTTCTTACATTTGAGCGAACTAAAACATTACCTATTGAATGTGAAATATTTGTTTCTCATGTTGTTTCAAATATTGATGAAATTTTTTCATTTGAAGGTGATCCAATTTTTGATGATGATGGTTATATTATTCAAATTACTACTGAAAAGTTCTTTCAGCAATTATTTGATCCATATGCTTCAACAGAATTTATTCAAATATTTGCATTTACTGGAAATCTTCTCTGTCAATCAACATATATTGTTAATCAATTTAAATATATTCATAATGAATATTCAAATCAATTAAAAAATGAAGAAAAATATCCTAAAACATATTTAGAAAATGTTCAAAATAGAATTGAAAGTGTGATAGAAATATTTTTAAAATATCAAATATTTCTTTTATCTAATGAACAAAAAATAGAAATAAATCAAATGTTTACTTCACCTATTTATTCTTCACAATTTATTACAAATATAAAAGAAATATTATCAAATAAAACTTCTGGATTTAAAAATCCAATTTCTACAAAATCTTTATTTAAGAAAGTTGAAAAAAAACAAACAAGAAGAAAGAAAGCACTTTCTATTTCTTCTCATCCTCCTTCAGAAACACCTAAAGAAGAAAGTCGTCCTAAATTAACTAGAACCAAATCAGGTGATCCACTAAATATTTTTGAAAGTGAAAATGCTAAAATTGGTTTTATTAGTATTGATAGTTTTATGAATATTGATTATAAAATTATTGCTGAACAACTTGTTGTTTATGATGTTAATGAATTTAAAAAAATTCCATTAATTGATTTAATAAATAGTGATGGTTCTGAATATTTTCAAAATTATATTAAAGCACTTAATAAATTAGAAGATTTCTTTATTAAAATTATGACTACTACTGAAGCTTTTAAATATTTTATTAAAGTTGCACAATGTTGTATTGATTTATATGATTTAAATATGGGACATCTTATTTTTTCAGTTATTGTAAAACAGTCAATTTCATGTAAAGAACAATTTGATGGATTAAAAAAAGGAAAAAAATTAATGTATAGTAAAATTTATGATTTATTTTCAATACAAAGAAATCTTTGTAGGTACAGAAATGCAATGAAAAAAATTCCTTTAGAATCTCCTAGAGTTCCTATTATTTCTATTTTTTTAAAAGATGTTATTTCATTTAAAGAAATGGAATCATTTTTAAATGGTAATATAAATTATATAAAATTTAGAGCATTAACAGAGACTATTGAAGCAATGGCTATTTCACAACATATTCCATATATTATTCCACCAATGAATATTATTCAAAATTTTCTACATTCACAAATGGTGTAAAATATACTTTTTTTTTAAAAAAAAATATCAAATTGTTATTTGTTTTAAATGATAATGTTTTTTTTTTATTTTTATTAAGTTTTGGTACAAATAAATAAATTAATTGAGTAATCTATATAATTCACCAACATTGAATAATACAGTCTTCATAGTTCCAAGTTTATTTTGGATATAATCAGTTACAAATGGACCATATTTTTTGATTGATTCATTTGAATAAACTAATTGTTGATTTTGAAAAATATTTATTTTTCCATCAATACCTGCATTTTCTTCAATTTCACATGAAACAAAGATATTTTTTTCTGAAAGAATATCAATAACTAAATGAAAACATTCAAGTCTTCTTTGGTCTTGCATTCTTCTTTTAGCTCTTTGTTCTTGTAACCCTTTTTTTACAAAATCATTTACTAATTCCTCTTCTCTTAATTTAACAAAAGCACTTACATCAATTCCATCACCATTACCAAATACTATTTCTGATATTTTTATAAATTCATGTGTTATCATTGTTTTATGTCTTGGTTTACTCACTTTAATTGAACAACTTTTTGATAAAAGAGCTAATAAAAATGCATAAGCATCACATAGGTTATTTGTTAACCGATATCTTCTTCTTTTATTGTTGTTAACCATATTCATTACTCTTGATTGATTGATAAGTATTTAAAATTATTTTTTTTTTGATATTTTTTCGTTCAAAAATAAGAAAAATATTTTTATTGTTAGAATATTTCTCTTTGAATCAATTGAAAATACACCCAAATTAATAAGACGTTTGTCAAAAATTTTGGAATTTTTATTGATTTATAATATTAAAAATACTTTATCGAGTTTTTTATCTATTTTTGATTTATAACAACCACTTTTTTATTTGTAATTCTGTTTTTTGTTATTAATAACAGAATAAATCATTATTTTTTTTTTGTTAAATATAACATTAAAAAGCATTTATTTTACAATGAATTTGAAATGAATAAAAAGAATAACATGAGATTAAGCCGAAAATAAGGAACTAAGAAAAAATTGGTGAAGAAACAATGGAGACATTCCCTAATGACTATTTGTTTCCTAAAGTTACTCCACTTCTTCCAATTACTTCAAAAAAGATAAAACTTGATGAAAGTACAAAACAAAAATATTTAACTAAATTAGTTAAATTAAAAGTTATTTGTGTTAGGCTAATGGATCAAATCATTAAAGCTGATCAAAAAGTTAAAGAACAAATGTTTGATGCTAATCAACAAATGAAAAAAGAAAGTTTAACATATTTTATAGCTCAACAAAGAGAAATGAAACAAGCTAGTGACAATTATTATATAACACAATTAAAACGGTTTAAGTTTCAAAAAAATGTATTAGCGTATGATTTTAATATTATTAAACAACATTCTGAAATCTTATCTGTTGTTATTTCTATGTTAGAAAAATCATATTTTGTTATTGAAATAAAAAAATTCTTTATATCTCCAATTAGGTTATTAAAAAAAGATGAAATAGAAATTCCACGTAAAGAATTTATGAATGTTTGTATCTTTATTTAATTCAATTAATAAAAACAATAAAATATATAATTATATTATAGAAACTAAATAAGAATTTATATTCTGCAAAACAACATTATGATGAAGTATTCACAAAATATTTAACATTAACAAATCCTCGTACAAAGGTATTAAAAACAATATTGGTTGATGTTATAATTAAAATTGAGAAAACAAGTGAAAGAAAATTTATATTTTCTCCTGATTTAATAGAACATTTTAATTATTGGTTTTGGGATTATAGATCTCCTTATTGGGAAGATATAAAACGATTAGTATTAAAACCAATTCAAAGTAAAGCTATTATGAATGAATTAAGAAATATTCGTAAAAGAATTATTAAAGATAATAAAATAGGATTTATTGGTGGTAGTGATATTTTAGATAGATTAATTGAAATAGTAGCATTTCCACGATTATATTATAAAACCATTCCTTTACCATTTGATTATCCAACATATTTTTCACATTGTAAAATTATTAAAGAAAAATATAAAGGAAATTCTCAATGGGATGGTAATTTTAATCAATTAATTTCCATGTGTAATGAATTAAATTTATTATTCATTCCAACTGACATTTTTAAAAAAGTAGATGAAATTGTTTCGAGTATTCCAAAATTATTATCTTCTATTCCTGATGGTGATGAATTACTTCAACATGTTGCATGGATTATAGGTAATTCTGATTTACATTGTCAAAGAGAAGTATCAGATATTTTATCAAATTGTTCACCATATAAACAATCAGTAGGTAAAATTTGTTATTCTGCAACAATATTTGATTTAGCATTGAAGCTAATTATCCTTTGTGATGATTGATAAAAATGTGTTATTTAGATTTAAAGAGGTAGAAATAGTAAAATAAAATGTAATTATTCATTAAATTCTTCATTTGCTAAAATTTAATTTAAATTCTTTTTAATTCCTCCTTTCTTTTGTTTTTAAAGTTCAAAAACAAAGACTTTTTTCTTTAATCTACCAAATTCAGTTCCCCATGCAATTGCAACATCTGTTAAATCTAAAACTGACTTGGCAGCATTACTTCTTAATACTTTATATTCTTCAGGATTTTGGAAAATTTTAATTGCTCGTTGAATTGCAAAAACAAGATCTCCATGTGCAAATCCTTGGAATACAAACCCATTTCCTGTTTTATCTATTGGATTATATTCAAAAACAGTATCTTTTAATCCTCCTGTTTGGAATGCAATAACTGGTGTTCCACCTAAGAATGATTCTTGTTGTACTAATCCACTTGGTTCAAACATACTTGGCATACATGTAAAATCACATCCCATATTCATTAATGGTCCATCAGTAAAGAATGCAGTTGGATCACACCAAAAACATTGTGGGAATGTTTGTCTCATTTCTTTCATTTTCATTGAACAAGCAACGGCATATGGATCATCCATTGGAGCCATACCTCCAATAATAAATTGACATTTTCCATTTGTTTCTTTAACTAATGACCAAATTGCATCTAATAATAAGAAAACACCTTTTTGTTCACAAATTCTTCCAACAAATCCAAATAATGGAATACTATCATCAACATTATTAAAATACTTTTGTTGTAATCTTCTTTTACACTCCCAATGATCTAATGTTGGTGATATTTTCTTTAATGCTTCTGTTCTATGAACAACTGAAATACCATTACTACAAGCAAATGGATGTGGGAATTGTCTTAAATGATATGATAATGGTGATCCTTTAAGAGCATCTTGCATATAACTTTTACTAACTGTTCCCCAGTTATCACTACATTTTAATGCACACATTGACATATTTAAAGCAGTTGGTCCTGGATTATTAACTAATTCTCCAGGAAGTTCATGAATATAAGATAAGTCTGTATCTGGATATAAATCTCCAATATATCCTTTTTCTAAATTATGAACTATATGGAAGAAAGTACATTGTTTGAAATAATCTCCAAATCCATATTTGGCATAAGCAGGAACCATTCCTGTAAACCAATCATTAGTAATAATTAATGATGGATGAATTCCTTTATCACATAATAATTGTAATGATGATTTACCTAATAATACTGCAGACCTTAAATGTCTTTCTGCATTAAATGGTGGATAAGCCATTGGGAAATTATCATAATTATGAAGGAAATATAAATCAACGTTATTTTCTCTTCCATAATGAACACCACAACTAACAGGTTCATGTGCAACTTCAACAGTAACACTTCCAATTTGTTGAATTCCTTCATTCTTTAAATAACCTTGTTGACCTTTTTTATTCATATTATAATATGGTGAAATAACAACAATCTCACAACCTAATTCTGCCATTGTTTTTGTTAATTCATTAATAAGAACACCAATTCCTCCAATAGTAGAAAACCTTCCTAATTCTGGTGTAACAAAAACAATTGTTCCTAATTTATTCTTTTCTAATGCAATTCTACAAATTTCTCCAGCAACAGAAGATTCTCTAGAAATAGTTTGTAAAGTATTTATTCCAATTATTGGAATTTTACGATTTCTTAACCCATCAATAATATTAATTTGATAAAATAATTCTTGAACTAAATCTGCAAGTTTGTTTTGTTCATTTTTAGCAGCTCCATCCTTTAAAGATTTTTGTAATGTTTGAAGATATTTAGAAAGGTCTTTAGCTTTATTTTCTTTTAAATCAGTAAATATTTCTTCAAAAATACTATTTCCAACAGCAGATTCTCCAGATTGAAGTAATTGCATACATCTTCTAATAGAACATTCTTGATGTTCAAGTGCAACTCTAACATTTGCATGTGGTTTATATAATGAGAATTGGAAACATGCAATATCAAATGGACCAAGTTTAATTGGAATATGTTCATTTTTAAGTTCAAAATAACTCATTAACTCTCTTTTATGAGTAACAACATCAATAACCTCAAATACTGCATCATCTGGTTGTTCATGCTTTAATTTTAATTCATGAAGATCAAAATGAACAGTAGTAGAACTATTTATGGTATTAATTGCTACAAGAGCAGCAGTTGCTGAATGAGAATGTTCTCTCATAATTCCAATAGTTCTATCAGATTTTGTTCCATCTATATTGTACATTGAAATAACTTTAATTTTACCAAAAATCATTAAATGTTCAACTCGTTCTCTAATTAATGCACGTTTTTTATTTAATTCAATATGGTTTTTATCATATGAATTTAATGGAGTTAAACATGGAATAAGTGGAAGTGATGAAACAAAATGAATAAGAGATGGTTGCATTGCTTGGAATTGATAAGCAAAAGTAGTTCCTTGTGGATATTTATCTGGATAATAAGGTGCTTTTGAATTTTCTAATTCTTTTATTTCATCATTACTACAAATTAATTGGAACATTGTCTTGAAATTAGGTGACCATAATGGATTAAGATCATCAATAAATGGAATGACTGTAGATTGAATAGAAGATACTAATTCTTCAGCTGGTGCTTCTACAAATAAGAAGAAATCTGGATTATTTGACCAAATATCACGTGTTAATTTTCTTAAAAATGGATTTGGATATCCAACAGTAATAGCATCATTTCCATAAATTGTTTGTGAATCAACTTCACACCCAGTTATTCCTTTTGCTGTTTCTGTATTCATTGCAGCAATTGGAAGTAATGAATCACAAATTGAAGTAATTCTAACTGCATCAATTCTATATTTTGTTTCAAGTGTTTTAATTTCTTCAACAGCTTTTTCCCAACATGCAATAGATCTATAATTCATAAAAACTGAATCTCCATTTCCTGCAAATTCATTATTATCTGTTTTACACATAAAAGCTCTATATGGAGATGACTCTGAAACTGAACTTGAAATTTCCATTGGGAAATCAACCATAATATTAATATCTGGTACATCAAATTCATGAACTCGTTCAATTAGTTGTTGAGCAAATGCATCATCTTCTAATATTCTTGATTTAGATGCATTAATATTAATTAAATGAACAGTATTAGCACCAATTTGTTCCATTAATTCAGATGTTAATAATTCTGGTTTATATCCCATTTCTGAAACTCCATAAATTGAAAGGCTTTTTGCTTTATTTGGTAAAACAATTGTTCTACTTTGAATAACTCCTCCTGAACATTGACATTCAACAAATTGACCATTAACTAAAGTACCAATAACAATATCATATTCTCCTGGTTGAATTGTATTTCCAATATTCATATTTAATGGCATATAAAATGTTGTTCTTTTAACTGGAGAATCAACGTTAAGGGAAGGAAGTTGTGGCACAGTAACTTCTGCAATAAGTCCTTTATTATTTTTAAGAGTATGTTCAAATAATGGATGTTTAAATGTATTTGTTAATGTTAATGTATCACCAACTTGTAAAATTTTCTCAATAAAGAATGGTTTAGTAAATTGATGAAGATGACCATCATATAAACAATTTAATAATATTAAACATGTTGATCTAATTTGGTCAATTGGATATCCTAATAAACTAATAAATAATTCTTCTATTTGATGGAAATGACTATCAAGGAAGAACTCATTTGACATTAATTTCTTAATAAAAACAACAATCTTTTGGAATAAAGTTTCTGGAAAATCTTTATTAACAAGTTCTACAAATTGTTTCTTAAATTCTACCATTTCTTTAGCAATTTCATCAACTTGTTGAAGTTTAGTATTAATACTTTTAAGAGTTTGAGTAAATGATGTTTCTGCTTCATTAAATTGTTTAGAACTTCCAGGGAAAAGAATAAGACTTAATTGATCAAGAGCAATTTTATAAAACATTAAATCATTTCTACCATTTCCTGTAATCAAAGCATTCAAATGATTTTGATGGATAGTTAAAATAGACCCTTCAGTAATTTTAAATTCTGGTTCATTAATAATACTTACTTTAGGAACAGCTTCTGACTTATCAATAAGAACACATTTTAATGAATAGTATTGAATAATCTTATAACATTGATCACCTCCTGAGATAAGTGCTTTATGAACAGCCATTTCTTGTGGTGACAATGTACTGACTTGTTGTAATGTCCCAAATTGGTCATTAAGGAGTTTATCTAGAATAGGTAATGAGATAGAAATTGACATCTAATGAATAATAATAAGATCTTCAACCCAATTTATATTTAGATGGAAGTGAACTTAAAATTTATTTATTATGAAGTTCAATAGATTCATTACCATTTCATTATCATTTAATTACTATAATTATGGAACTGTCACTTTTTAATTAGAAATATCCTGATTTTAGTATTGATTTGTGGCACTTTCTAAAATATTTTCCTTTTCGGTGGTTTTAATAAAATGTAAAATAAAAATCGCTTGTAATCAAATTATATTTATTTAATTTTATTTTTATTAGATAACAAATCTTAAACATTATTATTTGTTTATCTTAATTATTAATATAATACTCTTTCTCTATATGGTAATTAATTATGTTATATAATCTAATGTCAGTTATTTACTACTTGTTTCTTCTTTTTCCATACCTTTTATTCTATTTGTTAAAAATATATCATTATTTATAAAAAAATAAATAACAAAATTTAGTTTTTAACCAAAAATATATTTTTCTTATTTTATCATATTTTGTATTTCTTTCTTCCTTGTAGATGTTTTTAATTGATAAGATATCTTTATTTTCTTTTTTGTTTATCTTGTAAATAAAACAAATGTTTTAGAATATTAACAAATTTTAAATTAATTTCTTTAATATTTGTTATTATTCTTGTCTTTTTTGTTTTTTTTTTTCATACATTTCCATTAAATATTCTGCAGAATCAAAACGTTTAAACTTTTTTTGAGGCAATAGCCGTTTGTTGATGTCTGACCTTTTGGATAATGTTGGTTCAGATGTCAATTTTTTTCTTATTATTTGATCATTATTTTGAATGTCTGAAAGAAAACTCATATTGAATTGAATCTAAGACAATTGAGTTTGGTTGAAAAGGTAATAATGACATGATTATGATTTGATTATGATATAACTTATGAAAGAGAAACAATAAAAATGAAAAGGAGATTAATAAAGTGAAAAAGTTACCTTAAAGAAAAAAAAAAGGGTTTTTTAAAAAATAAATGAAAAATAAAAAATTATTGTAATAAGGTAAATTGATGAGTACCACTACTTCATTAAGGTCTACTATTCAACTTGGTGATTATTGCATATTAAAAAGGGATGAAATTATGACGATTGTTGAAGTGAAAGAAGGAGTTAAAAAACGTTTTGCTAAAAAAGAAGTTCAAGTTGACTCATTAATTGGAAAATCATTTGGGCAATGGGTTGAAGTTAAAGATAATATTTTTGTTGATGGTAAATCACCTGATGAATTAGTTGCTGAATTTTGTATTAATGATGGAACAATTACAAAAGATAATCGTAATTTACAAGACTCAAATTCAAATCAACAATTAACTGATCAACAAATTGTTGAAATGAAACAAAATGGATTAAGTGGTGAAGAAATTATTAAAGAATTATTATCTCATTCGGACACTTATGAAGGAAAAACTGCATTTAGTCAAGAAAAATATATTAAAAAGAAAATTGGAAAACATGTTGCTACATTTCAAATATTAGAAGCATCTCCAATTAATGTTTGTGACTATTATAATTTAAAAGGAAATTTTAAGGCTGGAAGAGTAAGAGAAGATATGTTATCATATATCATGTTTCATTCTGACTTACGTGAAAGTGTTGGAATTATGGAAAATTGTAATGGATTAATTCTTGGAAGTGTATTGAGAGCTGTAACACCAAATGTCAAAGTTTATACTGTAAAATATAGTGGAGAACAATACAGTCTTGCTACAGTATTAGCACCTCATTTTTCTGAGAGTCCAACAGATGACTGTCAGAAATATTCAGTACAAGAAAAATTATTACATTATACTTCATTTAAATATAACGTTGACGTTCTTCCACAAGTAAATTCATTAATTATTGTAACTGATGTTGAACCATTTGAAACTGTTAAAACATTATTCCCTTCATTGAAGAAATCAGGGTCTCTTGTTGTTTATTGCCAATACCTTGATAAATTAGCTCGATTATTTGATTATTTATGGAAAAAGAAATGTATTGTTTATGCAGATGTTATTGAACCATTTACACGAACAATACAAGTATTACCAAATAGAACTCATCCAAATGTTTTAATGGATTCTAATGGAGGGTATTTATTATATGGAATTAAAGTAGGAGAAATTTCAAGTTCAGAACCACAAGGTCTACAAGAAGAAAAAGAAATAAAAGAAGAAATAAAAGAACATAAATTAATGCAGGAGGATTGATTATTATTTTTTATTAGTTTTCTTTTTTTTTAAAAAAGAGTAACAGAACTTAAAATATTAAAAGGATGAATGAAATTATTGAGCAAGTTGCGCATGTTTTAAAAGGAATTACTCTTAAACAAGGAATTTCTATTGAAACTCAAATTGAATTACCAATTGAAATTTTAGAAGAACTTCCTATTGAATTATTTAAAGAAAAAGAAAATGCTGTAATTTTAATATTATCTAAATTACTGGAAATTCTTCAGTCATTTGAAAAACTTTCACTTTCAATATTTTTTAGAATTACAAAAGTTATTCAACGATTAATTGATTCATTAAGTAATGAAAAAAGTGGAGAAATAATACCAGGAATTGTTTCTCAATTTGAGGTTATTAGAAATAATGGAAGGAGTGAACAAGTCATAGAATGTATGAAAATTATTAAAACTATCATTATAAAAAGTTTTAATTATATTTCATCAAATAACTATCATAGATTAGAAATTATTATTAATAAATGGTTTATTCAAAAATGGAAGTTACAACCAAACAAGGTTGGAGAATTTTGTTTTGAACTTATAAAATCTTTAGGACATTCAATGAAACAAACTATTAAACAATTGAAAGAAGTTGGAGTTAAAGCTAATCCAGAAATGATAACACAATTAGATGTAAATGATAAAAATGAAATAGTAGAATGTATATTAAATGATATGATAGCTATTAGTAATTCAATTATTAATTGGATTAATGAAAAAGTAGAAGATAAAATTGAAGAACAAAAACAAGACTCTGATATTAGGTATAAAGGAAGAGAATTATTAAACCAATTAGTTGCTATTTCTTGGAAAGATGAAATAATTAAAAGTCAAGTAATTATTTCAAGTCAAATAATTGGTGCAATAGAAGTTATTATTTTTGAAAGAAATGAATCTCTCTTATTGTTTCAGGAAGATATTGAAAGAAGAATTATTGACGAGATTATTGAATTTAATCAAAGAAGTGATAAATTAATTAGTGTGTTAAATAGAAGAAAAGGAAGTAATGTAATAATCAAAGAAGATAGTAAATTGAATAGAGAAATTGAACAGAAAGTTATTGAAATTCTCATTTCTAAAGGAAAAGAAAGTAATGAAGAAATAAAAGATCAGATTATAGAAGAAATAATAAAAAGTAAATTTAAAAGAAATGCAAAAGAATTACTTTGTCCAAAGAAAACAATTAGTTCAGAACAAATCATTTCAATTCTTCTTGATTATCAAAATATACAAGAAATGAAAGAAATTATTCAAGAAAATAAAAAGAAAATAGAAATTCAAGAAGTTATTAAAATTTTAAGTAATTATAATTGGAGTGATATTAAAGAATTACAAATTGTTAATATATTCATTAATGAAACAAATGAATTAAGTGAAGAATTATGTAATGAATTAATGGAGAAAGTAAATCAGAATTTACCAATAATGATAGATAGTGATGAATGGGTATATTATTTATTTATTTTAATTAAAAATATCTTAAAAAAATATCCTTCTCTTCTTATAGAAAGTGTTTATAAATTAAATGAAGGACCAATTATTAATGAAAATATTTCAATGAATATTAACTCAATGCTTAACATAATTGGAATAAATAATAACCAAATTCCAATAAAGTCAAATAAAGAAGAAAGGAAAAAAAATAAAGAAAGAAATACTAAAATGAATATTATTCTTCAAAATTGTTTAATTGGATTAACTCATTATAATTCTGATATTAAAAATGAAGCAATTTGTATTTTAAAAATGAATATTAAATTAATTAAAAAAGAAGAAATTATTAAAGTTATGAATATTTTAAAATTCACAATTGAAACAGAATTAGAAAATGAAGATTTAAATGAAATATTAATTATTAATATTATTGAACTTATTAATATTTCTATTATAACACGTAAAAAAGAACTTAATTTATTTGTTGAACATCTTTTAAGAAGTTTTGGTTATAAACTTCTTGAAAGAATTCTTTATATTGAAAGTACACCATATAATAAATTATTTGAAATGAAACAAAAATTATTTGAAATGTTAGGTCATGTTTTTAATTATTGTTTTATTAATTATGAAAATACATTTGATTTTATTCTTTGTATTATTCGAATGATAAGTTGTAAACGATTCTTCTTATTACCAAAATTACAACAAAAAAATGATGTTGATATGATAGTAATATTAATCAAACAACTAAGTTTAATGAATTCAGATGTATTTAATAGTATTGTAATTCCATTATCTTTGAAAACAAAACTTAATAAAACTAATTTTGAAGAGCGATATTCTCGTATTTTTCAAATGCTTCTTGGAATTGATTATAAAGAAAATCAATACTTTATAACTCAAATATTATCTAAATAAAAAAGATAAATGTGATTATATTTGTTAATTTCTTAATTAGAATTTTGTCTATCAATTTCAATTCAAATAATTGAAGTTACCAATAGACTAAGCAATAATTGCTCCCCATTCAATGACATACTTTCCTGTTGGTCTTTGTCTTTCTTCAACACTATCAATTGTTGGGAGAGTATTAATACTTTCAACTTCTTCAAACTTTAATGCTATTCTATGGATTTGATTAAATCCACTTATTTTCAATCGTGCAATTTCATTGTCATATGTTGAATCACAAATTGTAACTTTGTAATACTTCTTATTTAATTTTACAATCCAATAAACAATAAAGTCATTGATTTCTCTTTCATTCATTCCTAATTTCTTTAACAATACTTCTAATTCATTAGTCATATTTTCTTTTGTTATTCCAACTTCTTTTCCTTTGAATTGTTCTTTCTTCAAACAAATACCTTCCCAGAATAAATAATCAAAATGTTTATTATTTATTTCAATTACACAGTTTGATACTCCATCACTACAATAAGTTCCTTTCCATTCATACTCTTTCTTGTCACTATCTTCTTTGATGACTTTTGGATTTGGGTAAGTAGTACCAATGTCTATAGCATCATTCAATTCTAAATGACAACAAAATTCTTCTTTCTCTTTAGTTGTATCATCATACAGTAAAATTACTGGTTTTTTTACATACATCCTTGTTTCCATTTCAGAACTTCTTTTTACCAAATATTCTGAGTATGAACTTATTCTTACAAGAATTGTTTGATTATGGGAGTCAATGTCTTTTAATAGTGAGCAAGACTTTACTGAGTCAAATGATATTCTTTTTGAAAGGTCTGGATACTGTAAATCTGTTGTATCAGCAAATTCATCCCAAAACTTTTCTTCGTAAGTAAAAAAATCAGTTGGAACTTCTTGTTTAATATTCTGTTGGTTAACTTTTGCTTGAATTATTTTAGAAATCAATTGTTTAATGTCTTCAATACTAAAATAAATATTTGCTGTAACAACAAAACTGAATAACATACTATTAAGTGTAATACTTTTAAAATATTTTGATGTTTTGTTTGTTAATTCTTCATTAAATTTAATTAAGTCAAACACAAAAGGTGTTTTACCAGAGTTAATAGTTACAGTTTCATACTCTCTCAATCCAATACCAAAATAATTCATTTCACAATTCAATGGAATAATTTTTATTAACGTCCCATTTCTTGTGTAAAAAAGACAATTAAGTTCATGAATATATCCACATCCAATGACATCACATGTTTTATAAGGTTCATTAAATACTTCTCCATTTCCATTTTCATTAAATAACTTTCCATCATCAGAATGAAATCCTACTGTTCCTTTATTCCATCCAACATGAGCATTTCTATCAATGTTTTCATTTTCTACAACACCAATTGATATAATTGGTTTTTTTCCTTTAACTTTAACTTCAATATATTCAATAAGAGTACTAATTATTTGGTACTTTCTTTTGTCAATACAAATTGGGATAACTTTCTTATTTTTTTCAAAAGGAGTTGATAGTTCAATATAAGGTTTTGATCCAATTGAATTTATGACAGATTTTTGTTTAGAAAATTGGTTAACATTTGTTGTATTATTAAATGTAACATATCTTTTCAACTCAGATTCTATTGTCTCTTGATTTAAAATTTCTTGTTTTACTTTGTTCCTCCATTCTATTTCATCAAATGAAGAAAGTTCAAAAACTTCTTTGATTTGGTTATTGGTTTTCTCTAACTCTTTTTCTTCTTTTAGTCTTTTTATTTCGTTCTTTAGAACTTCATTCTCAGATTTCATTTGTAGGATTTCTTGTGTAAGTTGTTGATTATCCATATTGATTTATATGTGGATTATTTACAACTGTTTAAATAATGCTTAATATATCAAAATAATATAATAATAGTAAATTTACTTCAAATTTAATTTATTTAATACTTCACTTTCATATGGTGGAAACTTCTTTTCATTTTTTTTTCTTGATTTTTAAAAAAAAATGTTTTGAATGAAAAAAAACCAATTATTTGATATTATCCACTTTCGATTTTATGAATTTTGAGAAGTGAATATTTCAATTTCTTCATTATGATATATTTGTATCAAAAAGTTTATTTCTAACACAATCAAGTTAAAACATTATTCTTCTTGTATACTGCCAGAGTCATTTATTAATAAACATAATGAAATAAGAAATAAATAATAAATAAGAAATTATAAAAGATGAAATAAAAATAAAACAGAATTGATTTTTCTTCTTTTCAATTTTTTTTGTTATTGTTAACAAAAAACAAAAAATACTAAAAATAATAAACTAATTATAGAAAATAATAATATTATAATTTTATTATTATATTATTAATATTATTAAATATTTATTGTTGTAAAAACAATAAAAATGATGTTTGTTTAAAAAAGACTGATGTTAAAAATAACACTTATTTTGATGTGTTTATAACGTGTATTAACTAATTAAACATTCATATTTTGAACTTATAATCAAATTAAATTAAAATGGATAATGTGTATATTAAACAAATAGAAGAATTGACAGAAAAAAAGAATAAACAATATACTATTTGATTCAGATAAAGATGATTGGAGAGAAGATACATCAGTATTTGGAGAAAGAATAATGAATAAAGAACATGTGATAATTATTGTTGAAGATTCGGAAGGAAATAAATTTGGAGGATATGTTAGTGAGAAAATTGATAGAGTTGGTGGTTGGATATATGATTCAAAATCATTTGTATTTTCATTAGAATCAAATAGAATGAAGAAATATGATATTAAAAATCGACAATATGCATTTTGTTTATATAATCAATATCATGATTGGTTGTTTTCAATTGGATATGGTGATATGGCAACGAAAAAAAGCAAATAATTGAAAAAGAAGAGAATGAATGATATAAAAGAATAAAAAGAAAGTAAGAAGTAGAATATGATGAAGAAAGAATAAAAGTAGAAAGGAGAGAATATAAAAAGAAAGAAGATAAAGTGTAATAAAACAAAAGAGATGATAAAAGAAGAAAAGAAAGAAAAAAAATAAAGGATGCAAATTTTATTTCAACAAATAAAAAAAGTGCAAAATTTAATGATGCAAAAATTAATGATGCAAAATATTTAGCAACATATTTTATTGATGCAAAATATTTTGAAATAAAAATAATTCATCATTTGATATTATTATTATATTTGATAATAAATTATATTATATATTAAATACATCATATTTCTTTATTATTTATCTTTCTTTTTATTATTTCATATATTAAATTATTATTCATTCATTTATTATTTATATTTCATTTATTAAATAAAATGAAAATGTAAAATATCAATCAATTAAATATTCATG